CAATATGCAAAGACTTACTGTGGCCTGTAACCATGGCATGAGATTACTTCTTAAACTCCCACGATGGTACAGTGCCAGCCAAATGTTTGTAAATGTTGATGTCCTGCTTTACTACGAAATATTATGTGCAGGCTCTCTGTCTCAGAAAATAGTATCATCTAGGCCTTGGCCAACCCTGAGCTGGCCACTGGCTGGGACCACTGGCTTTCCACCTTGTTTGTGGGTTCAGTTTATTGAATTTTGTCCATTTTTATGAACTTGTATGTAGTGTTGGGTAATTCTTGCCCTTATACACACATATATTTTATAAATGTATTAATTATATCGTATTTTTGTACATAGATGATTGTCTGTTGTTTGTGTGGTATGCTATGGACCTCTCTGTGTATCCTTAATAAAGTCATTATTATTATGTATTATCACCATTAGTCTCATTATAGATGTGACTTATAGGTAATTATAAGTGTCTTTCATGGATATTCTTGACTAGTTATAAACTAAATGTTGACTGATGGGGCTTATGATGAATTATAGGCTACCCATACTCACTTATACACACCTCAACAATCAACTGTAGTAAGCACTCATAGCATGGTATAATAGCCCTACAGTATCATAAGTTATCATAGTGTGTTAAGTAAAGTGAAGTATAAATTGATGCATCTATAATACTGCATGCTGCGTCATGATGTTTCACTGTTGTTGCTAAGTAAAGTGTAATGTTCAAGAATACTTTGAAAATACTTTGAAAAGACTAAAGTCTGACACCCTCTCACTTCTAAAGACAATGTGTCATGAAATAGAGACATTGTAGTCACAGAATAAGATTTTGTAAAGTCTGGGGATCTTGCCGGCTCACTATTTGCAAGATTGTTAGCTTCAAAAAGAAAAACGTAGACAGAAATTGTTGCAGTCCTTGACATCTATGTAGTATGTTATATGCTTTTGCTAATTAGCTAGCTAACCAGGTCCCCATCCCAAACAAGGTTAGCATAACTGTGAGGCTAACGTTAGCTACTTGAATGTCCGCTGTTAGCCTACAAGCAAACCATACATTTCAGCGGAATATTTCCAGCTTCACTCACATAAGTGGTTACATGATGTGATTTTTGAAGCTAGCAACCTTAAGTTAAAACATAAGGGTAGCTTGTGGACTAATAGTAACATTCCAGTATCTAACGTTAGATTGCAAACAGCCTCTACGGTGGTCAGCCTGCTAGCTATAGCATACTTGTGGGGGATTTTGAGGGCCACAGCAAATTTTGTCCACTTTTTTCCTTCTCCTCTCTATGGGGGGGACACGTCTTTGACATGTCCTCCCATATGTGCCACTTTCTCCTCCTTTTCCACAGTCCAAGAGAGACGACATAGTTGCTTAAGCTGAAAATGCCCCAGTAAACCTCTAGTTTAACTAATCAATAACACCCATAGGACACAAATTCATTATAAGTCACATCTATAATATTTTATGACTGTTGATATAGTGCATCAGGAAACGTTATGTGTTTATGAGTGCAGTCATATAGCATTATAGATGCATTATAATTCCCTATGAACGGCCTTATAATGCATTATACATGTGGTCTTCATAGAAAGTTTATTTAGTTAGTTTTCAATGTGTTGGACGGTTGGTTGGACAAAACAGGACATGTAGACGTCATCTTGGGTTTTAGGAAAACTAGGATAGCCAAATCTGGCCCAAAATAGAGTTCTGGGTGGCCCGGAGTACATTTATAATTCACAATTAAAATTAAAATTAAAATAAATTGATTCATATTGAGATTTCTTTTGTACTTTGACTGTAAATAAGCACTGTGAATAAAGCAGCATCAATATGCTTGCTTATTAAAGAACAAGTACATGGAGGATCTCCTGGGCTCCCAACAAAGGTCCAGGCTAATTATTTTTTATTAATTATTAATGTTTGTTTATTAACTGGCCACTGGCCCACTGTCATTTTGCAAAACTGTTGGGTATCCCTGTTATAGACCAAATGACTAATCAATTAAGTGAGAAAATAACCAGCAGACGAATCGATAATGCAAATAACTGTGATTTGCAGCCCTAAATAATGTAAATGTTTCTTCCTTTAAAGCATTTACACAATAACACACTCTGTGTTAGCTGCTGAGACGCTAAGACGTGAGAGCAAAGTGCAACAAAGCATCTTTAAATCCTGTGCACACCTGTCTGAGTTCAGGAGGATTGATGATTATTGATCCTAAGTAGAGCCGCAGCCTACAGTAACATGTAAATGTCGAGTGCTATTTTTATTTTTGCTCATGCAGTGGCCATGGAAACAGGTTTCAGGCCCATTTACCTCTTTGTTTAAATATATGCATGTCCACCCACAGACGTACAAGTACTCACAGTACATGCTCAAATGCAGCTTGCGGGTGTACTGTACATCCTTTTAGCATGGGTACTTATGCAGTGCCTGAATTCTGCTGTGTAGATATGAAGTTGTAGAATTAGAAGTGGCTTAACATAGACATAAACTCAAAAATGTTGCTGTTTTAATGATCACTTGTTGAAGTCATCTACAAGCAAAAATGCCACCATGAGGAATTCTGCTTTTCTTAATTTCATGTTGTAAAGTCAATCTGTTTGGCAACACTTTGAGCATTAGAGATTGTGATGGGTATTTTTTCACTATTTTCTGACATTTTATAGATTGTAAAAATGATCAATACATCTGAAAAATAATCACCAGGTTAAAGACTAGATTCACATTTTTACAAATCTATCTTCTATCTATCTGATATCAGCTTTGGCATTTCTCATGGCCATAAATCCATCTCTGCACAGAACAGGTGCTGTAGGTTTTGTCCTTATCTCCTCGATTGGAGTCGCATTAAGAAGGGATCTCGTCATGGCGAGTTTGGACAGGAGGATCTGTTACTGCGACCAGTAACTGTTTCAGTGGACATATAGGCATGTAGCTGATGTTTTGAGACAAACCTGGAAAAATCTGAACCTGTCCTTTTAAAAGAAAAACTAAAAACATGAAAAGTAAAGCAAATACACAACTGTTGCCCCCCAGCCCCAACACACACACCTCCATATAAATACTTATAATGTATTACATGTCTCAAGAAGCCATGTAGCCTTTTGCAGCAGCTTACGTCCAGTAGGTTGAATGAAGTCAAGCCCAATTGTGATTCACTCACTATCATTGTCCCCGTCTCGTGCCCTCACTCTCGACCTTTCACTCTCGTTTCACATGTACTGTAGTGCCCATATGATTGCTATGTAAACATGGAAGCATTAGGGTCTATAAGATTTCCATGCAGGATGTGCACACATTTGACCTGACAGCTCCTGATAGGCGAGGGGAAGCAGGGAAGGGTGTAGGTTTCTTTCAACATTGGGGGGGGCATATTTGAAACAGGGGGTTTGGGAGTCCTCATTTTCTGTAACCACTTAATCTGCATGTCTTTGGACTGTGAGAGGAAGCTGGAGGACCCAAGCTGGCCTGCCTCTTGAGGTGAGGTGACAGTGCTAATGACCGCACTACCCTGCTGCCCAGTTTGGAAGTCATCTGCCAGCAAATTCTGAGCATCAAACACATGAATTCCTGCATTCTGGTGAATTTTCAAACACCAATATGTGCCTTTATCTGCATTAATTTGTGGTGCCAATAAAAGTCCTGGATTGTTCTCAATCTAGGAATTTTATGGCTTTTGTTTACACTGGAAATTAATCCCAGGAAATTTAATCATAAGGATACAGTTTTCTGGCATATCAACTATGGTACCCATCTCGTTGTATTTGCATTTTATCACTCTTTATCTGCTTCCTTTGGCCAGTCCTTCTCTCCTCTACCTCTGTTATCCATCGTCTTTATTCTTCCCCCTCATTTCTTCTCTCTTTCTCCATCTGGTGGTCTAACTGTCCTCTCTGTCTTGTTTCTCTTCCCCTCTGTCTTTGCGTCTCTCCCAGCTGAAAAGGCAGAGAAGCAGAAATCCTGCCTTTTGCTGCCCTCTTTCTTCCTCTGCTCTGCTCTTTGTGTAGCTGCAAGTTTTGAATATTTTGTCTTTTTCCCAAACATATAAAAATTGTGGTCCTACGCTCTTATTTTTCTCTACCCTTCTCTTTCTTCTCTGACTCTGCATTGTCCTGCTCTCCATCTCCATCTCTTCTTCTCCTCTTCTTTCTTTATCATACTCTTTCACCCTTCCTTCCTTCCTTCCTCTTCCTACCTGACCCCTCTCCTTCCTCCGTGTGTGTGCGCACGCTCTCGGCACTTGCAAATTCTCTCACAGACACATATTTATACGCCAACCTTGCTCCCATGGGAGACCCTGCCTGTTTGAGTTATTTCAGAGTTCGTGGTTAAACAAGACAGCCCGAGGAATCTCTCTGTCTGTCTGCTTTCTTTCATGTCCGTACTCCTCAGTGAGCTTTGACTGGGCTGAGGGGAACAGGGAGGCAGCCGGGGAGGATTTCGTGAAGGTGCATTTGTTGCTGTTTGATTTTTTACACTGTGGTGCTCACAAACAGCGAACCTGCAGAGGTTTCAGGCTCAGCTAAGAGCTGGCAACCCTTCAATCTGAGATTTACAAACAAATGATATTACAGGTCATTTAATCAGCTGATTTGAGGAATAATATGATGCTTTCAGTGTCCTTTATGCTGCAGACACGAAGAAACAGTTAAAGGCACATCACTAGGTGGTGAAAGGTATCAACACAAGACGTGTGTGGCAGTGTATTTATCTGCAGAGACTCTGTCCTCTGCCTGTATTTTTTAAATTCTTATTCTTATTTAGAGTGGAGGTAGAGGAAGCAACAAAAATCGCAGACACAGCACCGAAAAAAAACTCTCAAAAATAGCAAGGCAAAACACTGATCTGGGGTTGACTTTTCGCATTTGTTGGCAATGCTGTGTATAAACAGTTTCCTTTAAGATTTTTTTTTTGATGAGAGCCAGTTTTTAGAGTAAGTAAAAATAATTCAGACTGTTTTAACGTCGTTTATATATCTGTGTGTTTGTTACAGACTGAATGTGACCTGGAAAAAGGTTTGGAGATGAGGAAGTGGGTCCTGTCTGGGATCTTGGCCACTGAGGAAACATACCTCAGTCACCTGGAGGCACTGCTGCTGGTGAGAACACACACACACACACACACACACACATAGCCTTATTATAAAGTAGCATATTATTAGTGGTAGACCGCTTACACTTAAAGGGATAGTTCGGATCTTTTGAAGTGGGGTTGTATGAGGAACTTATCCATAGTCAGTGTACTACCTACAGTAGATATCTGTCGAATCACCCTCAGTTTGGAGAAGCAGGCAGGAGTATGTTCACGAAAGCTCAGCAATGTACTGCTGTGGTTGGGAGGCAGGAAAAAGTATTTTAGCCACCTAAAAAACTCAACATATGTTTCAGTGTGCGCTATGTTTAGAATATTTTTACTGCTTTAAGTTGATACATACAGCTCTTTCAACTGGGGAACTGAGGCCCTTATTTTACTCTCTTCAAAGCCACCAGACTCCATTGACTCAATCAAAAACAGTAATTTTACCTCGCTGAACACAGGAGCAGCTGGTCTACTGTTGCCTCAATCTGTAGTTTGTGTTATTGTGTGACTTTGGTGAATCGAAACTAACCCTTAAAACACCAAAGTCACACAGTAACACAAACAAACTAATTGATTGGGGTGTAGACCAGCAGCTCCTGTGTTCAGCGAGGTAAAATGACTTTGAAGACAGCATAGATGGGTTTCACTTTCTGTTCAGTTCCCTGTCAAATTGCAGTCTGATAGCAAGGTAAAGCGGCAAAAGTATTTTAAATATAGTGTACATTTAAACACCCAACTAATTTTTTTTTTGGTGGCCAAACTGAGTTTTGCTGCTGCTCCCGTCCACAGCAGTACATTACTATAGCTTCAGTGCCTGCTTCACCAAAGTCAGGGGGTACTGACAGTCATCTACTAAAGGTAATACACTGATTATTGATAAGTACACTTTTGATAAGTGGGGTTGTATGAGTACTATAAGTACTCATGCTCAGTGTCTGCTTCTTAATGATAAAACCATTTAAATATTAAGCTAGAAAAATAGCACCACTAGAAAAGAGTATTAATAGAATAAACTCACATAGTAATGTTTATCTAAAGTGCTTATAGTTCACACACAAAGTTGCCCTCAAAGGGAATGTTATACCTATCATCTCCACTGTTTGTTCCTCTCAGCCTATGAAGCCTCTGAAGGCCGCTGCCACGACCTCGCAGCCTGTGCTCACTGTGGCCCAGATAGAAACCATCTTCTTCAAAGTGCCTGAGCTCTATGAGATCCACAGGGAGTTCTACGACGGTCTTTTGCCACGTGTCCAGCAGTGGAGCCACCACCAGAGAGTCGGGGACCTCTTCCAGAAACTGGTGAGGAAATTGAAAGAGATTAGTCAAAGGGATGGGGGATTTGGGGCTGTAGATTGTGTGTCTGTACCCATGACAGCAGATCTGTTATTGTCCTTAAGTGACATCAGTGGGCACCCACAAAAGTTGAGAGTATTAGAAAAGACATTCAGGGTGCTGCAGCAACATTTTCTGACCTATGGACACAGACCTTAAGCAAAAGCACTGTGCTGGAGTGCCTTTATTCACAGCAGTGTTTTTTCTTGAATTTGGAGGTCTTCAGAGGCAGAATCGGTCTGCGTAATTCAATAAACCACTAAGTGTAGATTTGATTTTAGTACTGATGCTCTTTTTTATCATTTTAAATATAGACAAATTGAATCTGAATCATCCTTTTCTTCATATTTCCTCCTCAACAGCCGCTCACTGTCTCTCTTTTCCCTCCAGTAGTTTCTGCCAAGGATGTCAGGGCCAAATGTACACTGGGTCTATTTAATCATTTCACAACGGGTCAGTTAACCTACAATGAATCATTTGTTAGTTCTCTCCGAAATACTGCTCCTCTGCCACTAGTGTAGCTTCAGTAGTGTGGAATAAACTGTGGCGTCTTGAATGTTTTATGAACAGCTCCGGACTTCTCAGACTCTTTTAGCAAGTTAGCGCTCAGAGTGAACTCAATCAGCGGCTCCTCTGGCAGCAGCACAGCGTGTCTCCCTCTCCTATCTCGCCGTGCATACACAGGAGTCGGTGTCGTCAACTGATTTTATAAACCTTTGGTAATGGAAACTTACGTGGTGCTCGCAGCAACATGTATGTGAATGTGCGATAGTTGTGGTATCATAACAGCCTGTCACAGGTTACAGCGTGATGATTAGATGAGGAGTGGCAGAGCATAAAGGTCCAGGTGGAAAAAAACAACTCAATCATTTAGGATTTTGCTAGAAGAAGGAAATCACCCATTGATTTATTGATATAGATCCCAGGGTACATTTTTAACTAACTAAGTGAAGTGGTAGACCAGCAGCTCCTGTGTTCAGCAAGGTAAAATGACTGTTTTTGTCAATGGAGTCTGGCTTTGAAGAGGGCATAGATAAGCTTAACTTTAAATTCAGTTCCCCATCGGAAATGGCTGTCTAAAAGCAAGGTAAATAGGTGAAAATATTCTGACTATCACATACTGATATTGATTTTTTTTAGCTGGCTAAAATGCCATTTTGACTGTAGACAAATTGAATCTGAATTGTCCTTTTCTTCCTGTTTCCTCCTCAACAGCTGCTTGCTCTTTCCCTCTCTTCCCTCCAGTAGTTTCTGCCAAGGATGTCAGGGCCAAATGTACACTGGGTCTATTTAATCATTTTCACAATGGGTCAATTAACCCACAATGAATCATTTGTTAATTCTCTCCGAAATACTGCTCCTCTCCCACTTGTGTCTCCCTCAAACTCCCTCTCTCTCTCTCTCTCTCTCTCTCTGTCTTTCCCTCCCTTCCAGACTCACTTATACTTGAACACACTCCCATGTACACACACATGCATGCACGCACACACACACACACACACACACACACACACACACACACAGAGGGAGGTGTTTCACAATGCCGCCTTTCTGCCTCAGGCAGCTGAGACCATCACTGCACTGTGTGCTTTGTGTCTCGAAGAAGCTGCTATAAATAGGAGTCTCTCTCTCTCTCACACGCACACACACACACACATGCACACACACTCATGTTAATTTATCTCAGGAGGCTCCTCCTGGGGCTTAGCTAAGAAATTAGGATTTAATTTGAATCTTTTCCCGTCAAGGAGGCAGACACCAAAATCCACTTTTTATCTAATAGTTTCTTTTAAAGCTTGTCTTTGTATTTTTTCCCATCCTTAAACGTGCTTCTTGGTCACGTTAGCTCCCATCCAACAAAACTGCCCCACAGTCAGCGTAGAAAAAAGACACGACATCATGGTTCTGATGTGGCTAAAACATGAATATTAAGCAGAGTGATTGTACAGTGTTTCCACACTCAGACAGTTTCTGCCCCGTCCTCCCCTCCTCTCCAGACACCAGTTAATAGAAGTCAGGGGAAGAAGACGCTAAGACTACAGTGACGAAAAAAAAAGGAAAAAATGCTACATGACAGCCATTCCGTAAGGATGTGGAGAGGGAGGGAGGGAGGAAGAAATTAGATGAGAGTAGAGGAGGTGACACAGGCAAGGAATGTGGGGGGGAGGGAGAGTTGAGAGAGGATGAGAGTCGGCTAGGCATGTAGATTTAGGCTGCTGCAACTCCGATAGAGCTGTCTCACCGTGACTCCTGAAATCTGCGAGGGGAGCAGACAGGCTTAGGAATCATAAAACATAAGAACAAGGAAGGCGAGAGACGGAGAGAAAAGAGGAAGAGGCAAAGCGTCACTGACAGGTTATGAGCATGAGTGTCAGAGAGAAGTGTTTGAAGGCTGAAAATAGGGCTAAATCACACTTCTGCTCTTCCTAGACACACACTTCATACACAGTGGCAAAGTGAAGGTTTTACACCATGAAGACAGACGGGCAAACTGATAAACTTGCTCTGAATGTTGCTCTTCAGAGATGGAGGATGGAAAAAGCCTGATTCTGTGAATTTATAGAAGGAGACTGATCCTTTATTTGGCCAACCTACAAACTGTTTTTTGCTCTGTTGAAGGTTTTTTTTGTGGGATTCTCTGAGGTGGTAGCTGTGGTGTAGTGAGTTTATGTATCTGGCGTCACAGTGGTACAGTGGTTAGCATTGTCGCCTCACAGCAACAGGGTTCCTAGTTCCAACCTGGGGTGGGGGAAACTTTCTGTGTGGAGTTTGAATGTTCTCCCCACGTCAGCATGGGTTTTATTGGGCTTTGTCCAACCCATCTTCATGTCTCCCAAAGACACGCAAGCTAGGTTAATTGGTGACTCTAAATTGTCCGTAGGTGTGAATGTGAGTGTGAATGGTTGTCTGTCTCTATATGTCAGCCCTGTGATAGTCTGGAGACCTGTCCAGAGTGTACCCTGCCTCTCGCCCAGTGTCAGTTGGGATAGGCTCCAGCTCCCCCGTGACCCCTAACAGGATAAGCAGTTACAGAAAATGAATGAATGAATGAGTTTAATATGTCTGAGAATAGGTAGAATATAAATATTGTACACTTAAAAGAGAGTGTATACAACACTCATGGGTTCAACCTAGCTAATACTAGTTCAGAAACATGACATCAGTACTGAGAGGAAGGTAATGTAAGAAAAATGATAATAAATCCCCCTCAGTGATACATCTCCAAAAAACATGACAAACAGACATGTAAGAAGTCAGAAGTACATAATAATGATGGTCAACCTGAAACAGAAAAAAACACATGATTATGTCCAGCACTTTGATGCTGTATCAGTTTTTTTTTTTCTTCAACTAACCACACAGAGCCTTAACCCAGTGCAGCACTCCCTATTTTTTCTTTAATGCCACAGTCAGTAGCCATGTTTCCATCAGCCTGTTTAGATGCGCAACTAGAAGTATCGCATCAGAAAATTATGATGGAAAAGCCAAAATTCGAATTAAAATCCCCTGATTCGCACAAACTAAAATATGCTCGCTTTAGCCGGGTTTTGGTTGATTCGAAAAAATGTTGATTTGAAAAAATGTTGATTCGCAAAACGGGGGATGGAAACAGTTATGTTTGAATTAAGTCTGATGTAGAGCACCTCTCTCCATGGTGATATCCATACTCTGGGTCGGGAAGGCGGTAATGCATTTACAAGCTGGTTGCCAACCGCCAGAAAATGTAGAAGAAGAAGAATGCGAGACTTGTTTTGTTTCATTTAATGGAAACACACAGGATTCATATTTCTTTTAATGCGCATTTCCCAATGATTCGAATCACTTTTGGATGGAAACATAGCTAGTGTTAGTCATGCTAGCACTAGCAGCATCAAACTTGCCAATGTTGAGAGCTATAAAAAAAAAAAAAAAAAAAAAAAAATTTACAATGCCCCAGAAAAATTTGAGTTTCAGAGACTTTGTTTCCTTCTGGTGCCATTTAGAGAATAAAAATAACAAAATAATATGTAAACTGCAACAGTTGTTATGTTCAATACTGTAATTTTACGATTAATTCTCAGGAAAGAATACAGAATAACTTGCCCCTTTGGTGTGTATTCTTGCTTAAACTAATCAGTAATATGTAAACTAAATCAGTTTTCATATATTCATTTAATTGCACTGTGCAACCCTTGTGCACGACATAAAAATCATCGCAGCAGATTTTGCTAAATGCACACACCCTTCCTTTAAAACTTTCTGTAAAACTGGAATTCTTATTTCCTTATTTCTGTCTGGAGGAGCAGCTCTCTTCCATGTCGCATGCACACCAGGAAATGACATTCAGTGTAGCTGTTTTCTTGTCCAAGGATGTTGTGTAATGTAAAGGTGTGAAAATCTGTCATAAATCGAGTGAAATATGGGAGAACTGTGACCGTGGGAGAAAGCAGTGAAAAATAAGTCTCCAAGGAAAATCAGGAGGGGTGACAGCATGGCTCTAGATATGGCCATGTCAGTCTGAGAGTCGGTCACCACCTGCTCCAGACTGAAATATCTCAAAAACTATTACATAGATTGCCAGGAAAAGAAATACAGACAATGATGGTCCACAGAGGATAAAGCCTACAAACTTGGTGATCAAAGTTCTTGCTTTAACGGTAAAATATTTACCAGATTGGCACAAATTTTTGAGGACACTCTTGTTACCCAGTAACAACGCCTAATGGCTAACGATTCTCTTATTTTTTCTTTAGTGCCACCATGAGGCTTTGTGTGAAATGTCTCAATAACTATAAGATTGACTGATGTATCAGGCCCATAAGCTGTGTTTAGTGCTAATTTGAAAATGCTAGCAGGCTAACACGCTAAACTAAGTTGGGTAACAGGGTAAACATTACTAAGACGTCAGCATGTTGTCATTGTTGTCACTGTGCAGCATCGCAGTGTTGCCAGTATGATTTAAGACTCTTGTTTTACCAGCAAATGAAGGGTCTTATCCTTTCTAATGCTGTCTATTCATATCATTATAACATCATAGACTAAACAGCACTTTTTCCCTGTGTGAGAAATTTCCTAGTCTGTTAAAACTCCCTTATAACCAAGTGGCTAAATCCAGTCTTCTCCTATAATGGCCGTACTCTGTCATGAGGCTGTTTTGTTAATGTTGTTTTCCGCTGTGGATTACACACATACTCTCACACAGGATAAATTCCAAACTGAGAAATCCAAACACCCAAGCAGTTTCTTTCATCACCCAAAGCCATTTTCTGCCATGATACTGTAGCTGCAGCGGCACACTCTGTAAGCCTTCACGGTGTTGTGTGCGGCTCTGTGGATGTGGCTGGCAGACATTCGGGCTCTCTGTTCTCTCCACAGTCAAACTGTCACGCTCTGAATGGCCTCAGCTGTGGTGCAGATTGTGTGGCCCACGGCAGGACACAGGATTGCAGGATTGTGAAAATTGCTTTTCTCCTCGCCTTCTTCCACTTTGCTTCGTCCTAGTGTGCGGATGTATGTGGAAGACATTGTAAATCCATTTTGGAAAGTTTTGCCACTTAAAATTCATATTGAGTATTTGGAAAACACACATAAGGACAGTTGTTTGTTTGTGAAGGACGTTTCTTTTGTCAGTGATAACATATTAAGTTTAAATGATGTTTAGAAAACTTGTGACTTCACATTCCTGCCATAATTAAATCTCTCACCCCACCATGAGGGCAAAGATCAGGGTATGTTACAAAGGCCAGGGTTGTGCCTAAAAATAGGATGTTAGGGGATGAATGAGGTCAGTCTGAGACAAGAATAGTTATTAGCTTACAGATGTGTAGTAGTCCTTTATCTATAGAGTACTATTCAAAACTCTAATTATAAAGTGCTTCACACAAGGCAGCAAATTAAAAATCAACAATAAAAGCACTGACTCAGTCGGTCTTATTTCCTGAGGCAGGTTGTTCCAGTGCCTTCAGGCCCTGACTGCAAAGTCTCTGAGGCCTGTAGTTTTAAAAGAAAAGTCTGGTTTGCTGCAACTTGGGTCTAGTTTCGTAGCAGGCAGACAATCAGACAGGTTATTAAAAGTTCTGTATACGACATGAGCATTAATGTAGCAGCAACCAACTTTTCGGTATGTAAAGATGCAGTGGACTAATGGTCTCCTGAGCAGAGAACGAAGTCACGCTGTCACTGTGTACGTTGTAATCCAAGCTTCTCTATTCTTTGTTGTAGAGGAAGCACATGTATGTTAGTGCATTTGAGTCCCTGTGTGTCTCCCATTGACTAGCTCATTGCCACTGCGCTAATACAGCGTAACGCCCACCCTCCAGTCTTGCCTGGTTATCATTGTTAGCTCTGTCTGCACTGTTGCCATTCTTAGGCCCTGATCACACAGAAAGTGTTTTAACAGCTGGAGGCACCTTTTTGTAATTGTTTTTAATGAGAATTAAGCTTTTTGCTCGCGTTTCTTGTGTTGCGATGCGCCTTGTGTTTCTGTGCTCTAGACGCCTGGCGTTTTTGCCAGAGCATTCTGAAGTCCGTAAGTTGAAAAAACTTCAACTCGCAACAGAAAAGCGCCCCACATCATCCCTTTTTTCGTCACCTTTTTTCTCATTGCGCAATCGGATGATTTGAGAGGCGAGTCTTCTGTGGTGGTCACCACGACAACTTTACAGTTGGTAAACAATGGAGGAGAAACTGGTGGTAGCGGCTGCTGGATACTGATTGATTGATTGATACCCAGAGCTATACGGCCAGAAGATAGACAGCAGGTTGTCAAACTGCCCCTGAGACATCCTAAAATATGTCTGGTGGTACTCCCCATGATCCACCCTCTTTCTTAGGGTCTCATGTACCCACACAGATCTGTTTCCCTGTGCCCAACAAACTATTTACTGACAGCCACTCAACTAAAGCTAGAGCAAGTATCCTCTGCTTGTGCATTTTAAGCAAAGATACTAATTACTGTGAAAAAATAAATTAAACATTAGATTGATAGAAGGAGAGAAGGTTAGTTAATGGATGTGATGCAACAATAAAAAGGTGCAGCAAGCGTTTTTTTTACTAGTGGCATTCAATTTTGTAAAAAAGCAGCGTGGCACGCCTTGCGTTTTCAACCTGCAAAACGCTTTCTGTGTGATCAGGGCCTAGCACTGATCTTAGCACCATTCGCTGCTAGCCCCCAGCTCCGCTACCTCCATGTTGAGAGCTGTATGGAGACAATTCTGGCTCAGCCACTGAATCATAGATATGTACAACATCTATTGCACGTCTGTCCATCCTGGAAGAGGGATCCCTCCTCAGTTGCTCTTCCTGAGGGTTCTACCATTTTTTCCCCCATTAAAGGGTTTTTTTGGGGAGTTTTTCCTTATCCGCTGCGAGGGTCCTAAGGACAGAGGGATGCCCACAGGTTAGAAAACAAAGTCAGAAACAAATGTAGTTTTCATTACTCAAATTGTCCAATGTATATATATTCATCATAGTTTACAGACCACTTTTCTGTTTCAGTTTTTACTCACTGTATTTACAGTAGTTTCTCATAAAGAGTTTTCCAGTGCAACTTCTGGATGCACTCACTTTCGGTTCAACCTCCAAATAAAGTGTTTCTGATTATCTGGCTAAACTGCCGGCTTGTTGACAACCTCTCTGATCATCTGACTGCTCATTTCTTGCCTGACTTTATCAATAGACATTCATTACAGCTTTGTTGCCATGGTTCCAGATCTCAACAATGAGTACAGTACCATCAGATAGAAACAGTGACCAGAACAATGAAAGTAAGACCACAGTTGTAGGGCTGGGCAATATATTGATATTATATCAGTATCATAATATTAGACTAGATATTGTATTGGATTTTGGTTATTGTAATATGCTACAAGATTGACACAATATCGATATTGAGGAATGGTCTAAAATATTGTGATTTTGATTTTCTCCACATAGCCCGGCCCTATGTAGTTGTAATAAATCTGAATTACCTTTTCAGCTTTGTGTCTGTAAAGGACAAAAGACATCCCAAATTCCTGAAGCTCCACACAGGCTAATATGGGACCAAAAGGTCTGAACTATAGCGACATGTAATGAAGAGCTTCAAAGTTAATAATACGTGTTCAATATACTCAGCTAAGATTTTTCTGGGGCATTTGGTATTCTTTATAGTAGCGTGTGTAGCTCTTACACACAAAGCCCATCTCCACTGTACTCTCTCCTCCTTCAGCTTTTGTTTGGGAGAACTGATTGTCCCTTTGTTCGCCGTCGAGATGGATCGAAGCGCTGGCAGGCAGCGTTTGGTGGAGTTTTATTCAGCCATCCAGCTTCCTAAATGTGCTTTCATAGCCTCCGTTACACCAGTCATTAATTACTCACCCAGGCACAGTGCAGGTCTCGACGGTTGCCCGGGCAACCAGCCCATCTGCGAGGTGCACCGTGGATATGTTGCTGTTGTTGTGACTGTGATGTGTGTCTTTCCTTTGCCGGTTGTTTTGTTCGATTGTCTGCAAGTCATATACAGTCTCTCAGACATGGCTGACTGGGCTGAATCTCCTGTCTCAGATATGGAATTTCAAGGATTATATATCTAAGTACTGCAATTTAGCATTTTAATAACACTGAGAAGGTCAAAGGGGACTTCACATTGTCTGTTGTAAAGATTTGTCCATTTGTCCATATTTCAGCTGCCACTGTCCAGACTTGAGGAAATTAAGTGATTCACCAGTGCTGTACTAATTTATTGAGGCTTTACAGTAACAGTCCAGACGAAGGTATTTACTGAGCAGGCTACATTATAATGCTGTGCCTTCATTCGTCTGGCTGCCCAGTGTCTGTTTTGTTTCTCAAATGCTGTTCTTCATTAGTTTGTGTCATGTACATGCCAAATATAGACTGAGGGTATTTTTAGAAAAATGGTTTATTATTATATTTAGAGTTGAAGCAAGGCTCCAGATTGTATGACGTTAAGGAATGAAGTGGTGGAAGTCAAGAAAAGGAAGCAGTGAAGAGGACCGTTGAGTGTGTTTGGATGTGTCTGAGGGTTTCATTGCTGTAACTGTCTTTACAATGAACTGTTCTGTCCAAGAGCCAGCTATTTATTTCTCTATAAAGAAGATCACTTTGAGTTTACTGTCACTGTATTCACATTTTTATTTAGAATTGAGGGATGAATTTTCTGACAACACTTCAATATGTCTACTATGTTAATTAAAAACACCCCTCCTCTGTTTCTTTCTTTCTCTCTATCAGGCCAGCCAGCTCGGAGTTTACCGAGCATTTGTGGACAACTATGAACTGGCTGTGGAGACAGCGGAGAAGTGCTGCCAGGCCAACACACAGTTTGCAGAAATCTCTGAGGTAAGAAGGATTGAGAAAAGACTGGATAACATCACAAAGCAGGGATAGAAATACCAGGGTTTTAGATGTGGGGAAAGGAATTGGACCAAAAGTGAACAGTTGCTGGTTTAACCTCTACCTTAAAGCATTTTACCACTGTGTAAAATCAGTGAAACACTTAACCCCCTACATACCAGCAAATCATCCAACTGAGTTTCACAAGTTGTTCATGTTTTGTTTGTCTTGTGTAGTTATATCCATATTAATAAAAACAAATTGTCCTTCCTGCTGCAGCTGGGTAGTTTGTAAGAGAAAGGCAGCGTCACCTAGTCAAACGAAAATGATGAAGTAGATAAAACATAATGTTAGATAATGTCTTTATAGGGCAATGAGCAGTTCCTGTGGGGTGTTATATAGTAGGAAGAGTCTATTTTCAGTGTGATCTCATCCCTCATCCCTACTATTTTGATGCTTGGGCAGAAACTTTTGCGTTGTATCTTGCCGGAAAAGGGGCTGGCAAAAGGTCACAAGTTGACTTCTGTTACCAAGAAAGGGACTGCAGCTAGATTCAGGCAACTAAACTACTTGGTTAGGGTTAGGAAAAGATTGTGGTTGACTTTGGTTTCATGAATCGACTCAGTTGAGAAAAGACTCATGTAACAAAACAACTGAACATTAACTTTAAAGGGAAATTTAGGTTTATTTCAACCTGTCTCCTATCGTCCTAAATTTGTTTCAAGTCACTAGTGACATAGAAATAATAGTTAGCATGTTAGCCGTTAGCCTAGATACAGCCATAGCATCAGACCTGTTAAAACTTAATTGAACGGGCATCCTTTCAAGTGCAAAGTTAGTCCACTAAACAAGCTTTTTCTCCACAAAGACCGCCTAATATCGTTAGGATAAATGTCAGAGAACATACAGAAAACGACATGTAAACGTGTTGTCTTACCTTACCGGTGTGCTGCCATGTTTGTTGTTTACCATTTAGCTAAGGCTGCAACCGGTCCCATTCCTTGCAACAGAGGTATTCCTCTTCTGTGGGCACTGGGGCACAGCATTCACAGGTAACGTTACACCACCAATCTCCAGAGCTAAATCCTTCCAGCAGCCATTCCTCCTCTGTCGTCCTCTAACGTTACCTGTTGTGCCTCTCTCTCTCTCCTCCTCCATTCTTCAATTTCATGAAGCTCTTTGTCAGTGTATTCTGGCTCAAATAAATAAGGGCGGCCATCGTCTCTCGATGTGGAAAGCCTATATACTAACATTCCACATTTAGGTGGTCTTCAGAGTTGTTGTCTTACCTTACGGTGTAGTTACCATTTACCTCTGCTTCCCAAAGCGCGGCCGAAATATCGCGAGAACAAGCAGTGATCTCATATTGTGCCTGAAATCTCGCGAGAACAAGCCGCAGCAGCTGCAAAGCAGAACCGGACGGTAGCCTGAAAGGTTCATTCATTTATTTTATGAAGGATTTATAGAATAATGGCTGACTTTTTGCCAGACTTCGACTCTGTGGAGGAGGAATTTGATTTTGCAGAGTTTGATGGCCGCCCTTATTTATTTGAGCCAGAATACACTGACGAAGAGCTTCGTGAAATTGAAGAACGGAGGAGGAGAGAGAGAGAGGCACAACAGGTAGAGGACAACAGAGGAGGAATGGCTACTGGAAGGCTTTAGCTCTGGAGATTGGTGGTGTAACGTTACCTGTGAATGCTGTGCCCCAGTGCCCACAGAAGAGGAATGCCTCTGTTGCAAGGAATGGGACCGGTTGCAGCCTTAGCTAAATGGTAAACAACAAACATGGCACCATACCGGTAAGGTAAGACAACACGTTTACATGTCGTTTTCTATATGTTCTCTGACATTTATCCTAACGATATGAGGCGGTCTTTGTGGAGAAAAAGCTTGTTTAGTGGACTAACTTTGCACTTGAAAGGATGTCCGTTCAATTAAGTTTTAACAGGTCTGATGCTATGGCTGTATCTAGGCTAACGGCTAACATGCTAACTATTATTTCTATATCACTAGTGACTTGAAACAAATTTAGGACGATAGGAGACGGGTTGAAATAAACCGAAATTTCCCTTTAATTTCACACGACACAAACACCAGTCTCCTTGGTCAAAGTCCTGAGCTTGTTGGACCCATGCAGCTCCCCTCCCGCCGCCCTAATTGGATTTTAGCACTCTTTACACTATGTCCGTTGCTCTAAACGTCTAATAATGACACAGATAGCTGTACATTGGAGTGGCTCAATGGAAGCATGATGCGTCTGGTGCCCATGACACTGTCCAAGTCGCCTGTTTCAGTGCCGTGGTAGTGAGACCAGGCTGCTATTTTATGTCTGCTTAATTTCTATTAACAGAATGTATGTTGAATCTGTAGGCAACAGTACAAGATTTTGGAATCGGAAGCTTTTTGGTTTTCTTTTGTAGTCCGAGAAGTATTGACCAATCACATTTGAGTGGCAGGTAGATGTGGAGAGCAAAAGAGGTGGAACTTTTTGATTTAAATGTAATTTCAGAACCCATCGGATTTCGTCTAATGTCGCATTAGCTTTTTAAATGTTTTTTACCTGCGTTCATATGCAAATACCTGTTTATAGACATCAGCCAGAAAGAAGGAAGTTTTAGTCCCAATATCCACTGGCTACACCAGAACCCTCAAAATGTAGGCTATGGCCCCACAAGCTTATCATCATCAGACCGATAGCTGATATTGGTGGTTGTTTAACAGTTCTGTCCCTGATGCACTATACTTGCAAAATGCTTTGCTATTACCCACCCACGCAGCTTTAAGCATTTCCCTGCCTTTAAATTTGCATGTTCGGCTGAATATTTCTATACAAATGCAGCCAGAGGCAATATATTGTGTGTGTGTGTGTGTGTGTGTGTGTGAACGTCAGTTAAATTAGGGGACAATGCAGAGGAGGGTTGCTTGGTCTCATTCTCATTGCTGACCAGGAAAATCTGAGCTCAGTATCACCTACACAGACCGTAGATGAGCCTTGGCAGCATAATAAATTTGTTCATTTATCTTTTCCCCGAACACAAGTTTCCAACAGCTTTGGGGGCTCAGAACAATTTCTGTTATCATAGAGACGCTAGATTTGAAAACACTAATTCTCCTGCCTCCAATCTACTTTTGAAGGCTGATGTAAGAAAATTGACCCTGGTTTTAAACCAGTAATCTACAATCCCACAAGTGTTACATTCAAACACTCTAACAAGGTTGGGAATAGTGAAAGTTTAAACAGTATTACAGCTCTCTTCAGACATTTTGGGATTTTGCTGTTTCCAGCAACTACAAAAATGGGTTCAAGTGATGTTGGAGTCTTTATGAACTACAGTATGTACAGTAAATTGGAGCAGATGTTCATGTCTTGACTGATAAGCTTTAGGATATCAGGATAAAAATAAAGTGCGGGGTTGAACAGAGTATGTTGAGCAGTCTTTGAGCTTTTTTTTTTTTTTTTTTTTTTTGCACATGTTCTTTCACGTAGCTTCTGATACACCATCAGTCTTCGTCTATGTTTTATGAGGTCTACCAGTTAGCACTGTGGCTGGTGTCCACATGCAGGATGGGGAATTCATCATCGACGGTTGTTAATGGCCTAAGTAATGATGCATGACTCTGAGCCATCTGAGGAAGATGGTTGGGGGGTGGGGGGAGCTGCTGAGGATGGCATAATTAATTTGGAAGTGGATGACCTCAGAGCCTGAGCAAGAATAATAACCTCACTATGTTTTCATATGGCCAAACCATACTGAGCCGGTTTTCAGAAGTCTTTTTTAAAGGGTGTTCCTCTTTGAACTTGCCATTTGTCTCCAAACAGAACCTGAAGGTAAGGAGCCCCAAGGACTCCAAGGACCAGACGGCCAAGAGCTCTCTAGAAGGTCAGTCACTTCATGCTAGTTTTAACTTGAATCAAAATATAACACAAATTAAAATGCGCACGTATGGTATATTAATTCAAACATATCAACAATTAGTCTTGTTTCTCTCCTTTTTCATGTACAGCTTTGCTTTATAAACCAGTGGACAGAGTGACTCGCAGCACATTGGTACTTCATGTAAGTAAGAGTGACGCTGAAGCAGACACGCATCCTCATTATGCCGCATAATAATGCTGCTCACAAATTAAGCCTAGAGGGCATGACACAGGTGATCACAACCCAACTGGCCAACACTGTCAGAATAAAAAATGCATTATTATTTTCTTTATGTCAGGGATTTCTTTCTCCATCTCTAGAAAGCATTTTTTCCATCAGCACCCATCCCAGATATGTGACAAATTACAGATTAGAAATGACCACACATAGAGAAGTCCAAAAAGGCTTGGGTTTATGAATCACAAACCTTGTTTTGACAATTCAGCCTCCTATGGGAACGTCTTTAAGGGCTGCACTGTTAGTTTTGTTTTTCAGTGGGTAAAAAAATTTCTCCATCTACTGCTGTACTCTAGGACTTGCTCAAACACACGCCCACCAGCCACCCGGACCACCCGCTTCTGCAGGACGCCTTGCGGATCTCCCAGAACTTCCTGTCCAGCATCAATGAGGAGACGACACCCCGACGGCAGTCTATGACTGTCAAGAAGGGAGAGGTGAGTGTAGCCCAGATTTATACTTCTATATCTGTATCTGTTCAACCAGCAAAATTATGTTTCTCTGTATCCATATGCGAATGGAATACTGGAAGTGAGTGTGGTTTATACAATAAAGCTGAAAACACAGCAGTCACATTTGTTGATGTGTGTCGAATTCCACCCCCAGCACACACTAGACACGTCGCACTGCAGCTTGTGAACAGATGACCACATGAGGTTATTGATGCTGAAAGATCTGTGCCTCTTCCACCTCTCCATTAGCTTAAAATCTTGCGGGGACACCCACTTAGTTCAGTTGATTTCTCACCAAAAGAGCAGATCTCCAGAGCTATGACTCACCAGGAAGTATCTCTTTGGCTATTCTCTTTATAGTGACAGGATTGTGAGTCGTTTAGCTCAGGATATTTTCCATTCCCTGTCACATACGAGACAAAGCAACAGCAACAGGGCTCTCTGTATGCATCAGTGGTGAGGTGGCGAGTCGAGCTGCCATAGGAGCAGAGAAAAAGAGCTGCTATGTGAGCTGTTATGTACAAGCAGAGAGTGAGTGGGGGAGAAATGCATTTAATTCTGAGGGTGGCGAGACTGGAAATAAGACAGTCGCATAAAGTGCCTCAGGGTGGCACATCAACACTCATCTTGCCACCGCCGATGTGGGGTTGTACATAGAAAATAATAGGGGCGTATTTTTTGACCCGCGATGTTCACTGCCGGCGTCGGGTAAATGTTGTATTTTCTAACTGAATGTTTATTGACAGTGAAATTGTTGTGCATTTAAAGCATCAAATTGATTTAGTTATGGCATATAATTAATTATAACATATATTTCTACTTCCTGATACTGTACTTTTTAATCTCTCATTCTCTTTCTTTTATTTTTATTTTTAATTAAACCAAGTTTTGTAAACTGTCTGAACCCCACCACTATGATATGCCATAAAAAAACAATACATAAAAAAAATAAATATGCCTTTGAAACAAATAAACGTGCCTATGAAATAAATAGATATAGCTATGAAATAAATCCCGAAATAAATAAGTTAGGAAGTAAATATATCAGTAAATGTTAATATACATACAGTATATAAATGAGCCAATATGGTTTAGTGAATAAATAAATGGGTTTTATTTGAGAAAGGAAGTTTTTCAAAGACTACTTTTATTTATTTGAGAAGACTTTTATTTCCTAATGCCACATTTATTTCCCAGCTCATTTTATTTCCAACTGTAAAATTTTCCATCAGATATTTTTAGGCTGTTTGTGTATGCCAAAATTGCATGAAACCTATGGCCAATACATACAGTGCAGCATGTTGCATCTTAAACACATTAATATTGACTGAAATACAAGGTAAAATATCTTTTTTTAGATAATAGAATTGGGTTTTTTAAATGGAGCAAATTAACACATACAAACTACAGATTCTGTGCTTCATTTTGACGTCTCCTTCTCCTTGTAGTGACAGTGATGATCGTGAATGGTCAGCTTCGAGTAAAACAAATATCTGTTTCCATCACATTATTAACGCTTATTGATTATTCGGATTTAGATGCATCCCTGCTAAAGATATAGTCATTATTTCATCAGTTTAACCCTTTGCAGCTCTGATGCCGAGCATGCTGATGATGACATAACCCCGCCCTCTAAATGACCATGAAGTCACTGCCAAATGAATGTTTAGGCTGCCGCCAATCTGCAGCCTAAAGCAGAGCCCATGCCCTTATATGGTCATACCAGGGTTGATTCTGTGTTTGCGCTGTGTCTCTCTGGTGGCTTCCCATCCCTCCCATCTCCTAACGCAAACACACCCCGAACACACACACAATCTACCCCCCACTGCCTCTGTCATCCCCGGAGATGACTTGACGCACATGAATGGACTCCTCTTGATTGATAGCTTGCGTGACACGGCCGTACATAATGCCTTGTAATGAGCCACCGGTCCGCTCTGACTGGCAGATTCCAACTTAATTATTCATAAATGGAGGGTGGGAGCGAAGGAGCGAAAAAGGCTGTGCCGGCTCCTCCCTCTGCTCACAGGGGGGTCATTACTGCACCCTCTCCACACACACACACACACACACACACACACACACATATACACTTATCTACTCTCTGTTCCATTCACTCGCTCTTTTTCTCTTGTTTGCCTTTGAACATGCACACACACCCGGACACATGCGCTTCCCCTCCTATCCCCGCAGGCCCCAGTTCCATCCCAGTCTGTCCGTACCTCCACACCAGTCATCAAATATTTATCATAGATACATGAAAGTAGCACATGGAAATCAATGGGACTCATTATATTGTACCTTAGAGTATATAATACGCCTCAGGTTTTCTTCTGCATTTTCACCAACTGAGCTGCAACATACAGTATAATGCGCTCTGAAAGATCGTCGTTACCTGGAAGGGTGATGTCTTGCATTCAATGAGGAGGACAGTGCTTAAACCAAGGGGTTGTTGAGCAAGAAATACAACTTTAATCCCTTATAGTAGAGGAGATTTGTTTGTAATACTGCTTTAATAGCAGTAATTGCATTTAACAATGAAGCAGTTTTAGCTACTACCGCATTTAAACTATCAAGTAAACATTAGCGAGGTGTCAATGTGTCATTCTTGGAGAGTTATCCCTGATGGTTTAAGGGTGTAGGGCAGTGGTTACCAACTGGTGGGTCACGGGTCCATCCTGACTGGTCCACAAGTCACTCATGAATGTGTCAAGTTAGTAAAAAACACACTTTATGTTGAAGTACAAGGAATTTCCAGCACAGAGCTTTTATTTTGAACTGATACTGTAAATAACGGATAGCTACTTAACAGAGACAGCAAACTAGCTCGATGACATGGCCAAAGCAAGTATGACACTGAATGTATTTAACTGTATGGACCTTAAACTAGTGACTAAGGAGAAATCTGGACCCCATGGCTGGACCAGTTGGGAACCACTAGGGAGTGCTTTTTCAACATGGCTGTATTGTACATCTCAGCAAACCACAAATATGTTACATTCGTACGTTTCATACGTGTCATATCAATGTTTCTAGTGACATAATATATAAGCGTACTATGTCATTAGGAGGTTGATGGCTTGACTTATAGGTGAGACACCTGCCAAGCTGCAGACCACTGCAGACTACTGTTCGAGACCAACAAACCACAGCGGTTTGGCATCTGGAGTCATCCCTGTTTTCTGCACCTTTTAGCCCCATAAATGTGGGTGGTTTTTTGTAACTTGTGGCGGTTTTTCCACCGGAGACAGCGCACAGACACATCGCTGCTTTTCCTGCTGGAGTTGTGCCACCAAAACCGGGTTTTATAAACCTAGACATTATCTTTCTTGAACATTACCAAGTGGTTCTTGTGCCTAACCCTAATGGTAACCACAATGTTGTTGAAACATAAAGTTTTAATGCATCCCTGCCAGATCTGGCCCGCTATAGTGTGCCAGGTGGCCTGCAGACCATTTTCTTCCTCACAGTAAGAAATAAATTGATTCACACTGGACATTTTTTTTGTACTTTTAATGTAAATAAGGTGCGAGACTGGCCTCCTTACATTTTGCAAAAGTGGCCCTCAAGCAAAGCAATTTGAGTATCCTTGCTCTACATAAAACAGACAAATGTAACATACAGGTGGTTTGCAGAAATGTATAAAGCATTTTTCTGGCAACCAGGTTGAGTTAGGACAAATGATGAAGTATAAAGAGGCCAAACTGCTGATTTATGATCTGACCTGACATGTCGAGGATTAAGGGAGTGCTGAAGTGTCACTCTTACCCTCCATGTGCGCACACTAGCAAATAACCTGTGGTTTGTTCAGTGGAGGCATGCAGGAGCAGAGTAGCACAAGTGGCCCCCAGAGGCCCTGCCCCTGCCACACAAGGGGAGGGCACAAACAGAAGCTGCTTAATTAAAATGCAAATGATGGCACTGTCTAAATCTCAATTCACCTCCTCGCTTTGCTTTGTTTGCCTGTGGGAGAAGATGTGCCCCTGATGTGACTGTGTGTGAGTGTATGTCGAGTAGAAATGCAAACCGCTTTCATCTGTCTACACAAACTGGTCCCCGTACACACAAATCAGTTTACGCGCACATAGCGGCAAAACACACAAGCGCAGAGATGCCCCTTGAAGCGTGCGTTCTAAAAATAAACACGGATCTTTTGTAAATTCATACCATTACTCGCGCACACGCTCTTAGCGAGGCTCCTCCAGGAGATGGTCAATATTTAATCTGCGTTCTGTGCTGTCAGCGGGCTCTGCCCCACGTCGCTCTGCCTCAACATCGGCATTGCTGATGTTCCGGTCAGCTATTATGAGAAATGGAGAAAGTCACATTTCTCCTACTGGCTGTGCAATATTATGAAAATGTCATCTGATGCGCTGAGACAGCTGCTTTGTTAAGGATGTCTTTTCCCCCAGTAGCAGAGCGAAGCAACAGCGTAAGCACATTTTTAAATTTATCAGATTACTGATGTCGGAATGAGCCTCAGCTGGAATATGTGTCTGCATCCAAAGATAAAACAATGAGCCTTAATTAATTCTTTTAATATCTACAGGCATTCAGTTAATGTGTCAAAACCTTCATTCAGTGTTAAAATAATAAAAATCATGAGAACAGCATTATTCAGGCTATTAGAGTTTTTTTCTGCTCAGTTTATGATTAAAAATGAATATTTATAATCTCTTAATTCTGATTTAATGCAGTCAGAACCCTTGTTAAGAGTTTTTCTAATGACAGATTTGAATGTGCAGGTTAAACAGATGCTTCTGTGTCGCAGTATTTTAGTGGTCTGTCTTGCTTTATCCCTTCCCATTCACTCTCATTCAATCCCTAATCTAGCTGTTATCCCTTACTTTGTTTTATCTCTTTATCATGAGACCAATGGGAAGGAGGATTATCACTGAGGCCTGCTGGGCAGCGTAGTTTTACTGTAGTCATTTCAAGTCCAGATCACTTACCTGGATGTTTAGACAAATCTAGTAGCTCCTGTGTACGACAATTCCACTGACAATTCATTTTAATCTGCATCAGTCAGGGTTAGTAGTTCGTCTGTTAGGGTGCTTTGTGTCTAATAATCCAACCTAATCTACTGTTGTATTTTCTGTTCCACAATCAGGGAATGAAATACTTAGTTTGTCGCTCTTCTCTGATCACCAACCTAAAAAAGTAATAATTAAAAAGTGACTTGAACTCGATTTTGGAGAAGGTAAAACAGCTGCACTGGGGTTGAAAGATGTACTCTAAGTCTCTTGAACCTCTGACCACACCCTGTGATGTCATAGCTAGGTGTGGTCTGTCATAAATGTGACCACAGCCAACTGGCGATGTAGCATAATGTACCATAATGCCACGCTACTTCACTGCTGCCCAGGGTGTGGAAAAAGCATGTTGCCACCACTGGCTGGTTGGACAAGCAGGATTGCAAGACTGGATGCAGTAACTCTGCAAAAAGTTAAAAAGAAATAAGAGGAGAAAACAAACAGAAGGAAGAAGTAATGTAGTAGAAAGCTTTGAATCTCTGCCTGAACCCGATTGTGCCCGGCCCAAACCCAGTGCTGTAATGTCTAATCATACCCTGGACTTTAATCGGGTTGGGTTCTCGCCGATTTCCCGGAGTTAAAATGATTTATGTCCATATAAAATATCAATTGGTTAAGTTTACCTTCACTACACGTAGCGCTCTGCTGCTCTAAACCAAATAGCATATTCCAACAGTGCCCGAATTTATGAATGGTCCAGTTTGTGCCAGAATGTGCTCTGGTGTTCGGTGAGGCTATTTACGAACATGCTCCATGTCACAAATGTCTGTTACAACAGTCGTCATTTAGGGCCATTAGTCGCCCTCATGTTTACGATTTTTATTGAATTATTAAATGATATATTTTGGGCGTGGCAACACAATGGTTTGAGTTGAAGGTGTGAGAAAGAATAGTATCAGTAACATTGTTAACACTGTGCTACATTACAGAGAAATACAAACCGTACTAATGAACCTTCATTAATATAGGCCTATGTTTTATCTACAAGTGCACGTCACACACTGAGCGAGCCGCCTGTTAATGACGCTGTCGGCAAAGCAGTAATGATTGTGCTAAGTGGCTAATGGGCATGTAGCTACATACATGTTTCAGATGATACGTCATGTTTGTAGTCGACCAATGAAGATGAGTTTACATATCACGTTGGGTTCGTCCTTCACCTTCTCAAAATGATCCCACACTTTGGATTTCCTGCCCGACATGTTATTAACTAGCCTGTGGAATAACTGCAGGTATAGGTGAAGATATCCACAGTGTCCAATGTCAGTTTCTCCACTACTGTACATTGGTTTCTGAAAAGCAATACATGTTAGCATGCTGATGTTAGCGTGTAGCTCAAATCCGTGCTGTGCCTTGTTTCTATATCTATTTATATTTTACATATGACAGTCTAATCCCTACATATCCTGTATGTAATTGGCAGTGGATTAAATGCCCTTAAAACCTCAAATCCGCGATCACATTACAGCGCCCAGTTGGCCAAAGACCAGACCGATGGTGCATTGGTGCTTTTAATACACATACATACATACATACATACAGCATATCTACAGCTTCATTATCCCTCATTCCCTCAGTTTAATGCTGTATTTGAGTAATGTGCCAAAACTGAGTGGAGCAGTGTGACTCATGTCTCCTTCTACTGTACTGTACTTGTCCTAAATATAGACCGACATGACAGCATGTAGATTGATAGAAGTAAGGCAAGATGGAGCCGTGTTTTATATTCTAGTTAGAAAATATCCTCAGGGGGTTACATTGCATGTGGAATCACTTCATAGATGTGACACTCTTGTGCCATCAAAGCCCCAAAACCCAAAGATGGAGACTGAATGATGAACATTACAGTAACCAGAGGATCATTACAATTACATTACAATTTGATCGTATCTCAGCGTGTGTTACGACACAAACTGGACCAGGAGATTACATGAGTGCTTGTGTGTGGTCTGACAGATGTAGCATCCCAGTACTCACTAGAGAAATATGCCATATAGACAGAAGGCAACTCATCTGGAAGTTATCTATCACAGGTCGTCATTATTGCAGGCTTCATTATCTAGCCGGTATAATGAATAATTACATCCACCACTGGGAATTAGACTTCTATTAAATCCTTATTTCCAGGATCAGGACATGATTGCAATCTGCTGCAGGATCTTCATGTGTGCTCGCAGGCGCATGTGCATGACATGCCTTAACAGATCACTGCAGTGGAGCTGTGTCACATGGCTTTGGTATCTACAGTAAGAAACTGCGGCATGACATGTGTTCCATTGGGAGCTGCTCCGTCCCTGCTGTCGCTCTCCCTGCATTCTCTTTAAGGCATTTACCTTCCCTTTTGATGTACTCTCAGGCTCTCTCTGTCTTTGTCACCCTCGCCTCACCCTCTCCGTCATACGTGACCGTTAACACCGAGTGACACAGCATGATCCTCGTCTTTGCCAGCAGATGCCCAGTCAGGTTTTGTAAGCACGTAAAGCTCTCCTGCACAAACAGCAGCTCCACTTCAGTGTGCTCTGGTGGTGACAGTAGCTGTGTGGTCATGATGGAGGGGGGAGGAGGGTGAAGATAGGGATGTGATTTGTTCTGAACAAGTGTGATGTCAGGTTTCATGGCCTTGCTGCTGGGGTGTTGTAAGTGTGTGTATTAAAAGTTTTTAACAGATCCTTGTGGACGAACGTACTTCCGGATTTGCTTAATTTGGAGAGCAGTAGATGGACTGTAAAACCCCTTACGTCTGCGTATTGGTAATGTTATAGCCCATTAGCTGCCATTCCTTTTGTCAGTGTTTCTTACTATAAAAAACCTGCACCCCAAGTGGCAGTGGCAGTGCCTGCTCGACACTATTTAATGTTTTAACTCTTGTTATTTATGATATCTTTGCAGAAGTTAAATGTATTTGTCATTAAAACAAAACATCAGTTAATTACCTCAGATAAATAGCTGCAGTCAAGCTAAATATCCGAGGTAAAGCGGGTGAAATCAGCATGAAACTTGCAGAATAATTGAGCAGACACTGTTTCAAATGTCAAAAACTCTTCACACGTTCACACAAATCATAAATTGTGCAATCAAAAGAATGAAATCAAGGGCAAAAGTTAACTAGTATATGTATTTAGAAGGTCCCATCCCTGCTAGATGCTACCTGCTGTGTTCGCCTGCTGAGTTAAAATACAAACTTTCATTTTATTCTCTCAGTTTTTTCCAGCAGACCTCTCCTGCCTAAACGTTTCGTACCGCACACCACAAGTAAAAGCAGGGTTATGAGCATGTGAAAGTGGATCGTTTACTACTCAGTTGTGGTTTGGCATTTCTCTGCTGCCTGTTATTGTTCTAAGTCCGTTCTCGTAAATGTGTTCTCTAATTTGGAAAATGGCATCACTGCCCCCTTTTGGCGAGTGACGGTATTACACATCTCATTATATAGTCTGACATCAGTGATTCCCAGTTTGCCGTTACCTCATTCATTCTTCTGTAACCTGGAAACTGATGATTATGGCAGAATGTGACAAAAGCATCAGTTTAATCGAAGCAATTAAAGGGAAAACCCTCAACCTTTTTTTGGATGCAAATTTCAGTGATTATTAGTAGGTTGCACACAAGCTTTGTCACTAATAAAAGAGTCAAGCAGACATTTTTGATGATGACGCAGTAACTGAAACTGAAGTCCAGTCTCTCAGTCTCCTTCCACTCTGTTCTTTATCTTGTCCTCTCTACATTTTCTGCTAGTAAAAGAGGACTGGTAAGGTGGGAAGAGAGGGGAGGGAGAAGGCTTTGGGTTGCAGCCCCGATACAAAAGCTCTGCAATCTGTTCTGACTGTGTTACTGACCCACCACTGTCGTGTGTCGTTGCCACAGAGCCGTCAGCTTCTGAGGGACAGCTTCATGGTGGAGTTGGTGGAGGGGGCCAGGAAGCTGCGGCACGTCTTCCTCTTCACTGATCTGCTGCTCTGCGCCAAGCTGAAGAAACAGATCGGAGGGTAAGGAATGCATCTTATCCTCACTGAGTTAAACCACAACTGTGAAATACACCAAAATACAAACCTCACTCATACAATATTTCTGAAAATGATGGGAAAACTGAACACAACTTACTATGATGTAGGTGAAGATTCTCAGTCATCCAGGTCACAGTAATCTTAAGTGCTATATCGTAGGAAACTAGACTTGCCTGAGTTCCTTTAAGACGTTTCACCTCTTATCCAAGAGGCTTCTTCAGTTCTAACGGACTGGTGTGGAGACGCAGGCTTCATTCTTTGTGTAGGTGTGGACCCTTACAGAGTCATTGAGGTCACATGTGAGTCGTTGACCCACCCGGCCATCATGTTTGACACACATGCTGAATGAGAGGTGAAATGTCTTTAAGAAACTCAAGGAATTCCAACTGCCTACGATAAAGCACTTAAGACAACTGACTATCCAACACTCATTCAAGATTTGAAGTTTAAAGAGACATTTCACCCCAAAATCAAAAATACATATTTTTCCTCTTACCTGTAGTGCTGTTTACCAGTCTAGATTGTTTTGGTGTGAGTTGCAGAGTGTTGGAAATAACAGCCATAGAGATGTCTGCCTTCTCTCCAATATAATAGAACTAGATGGCACTCAGCTTGTGGTGCTTAAAGCATCAAAAACACCTTTGAAAAACTCAGCAGCAATGTCTCTTTCCAGAAATCCAAAAGTTTCACGTAGGACCTATTTTCTTTGTAACGAACTACACTTACCAACTGTATCACCGGGCAGAAGGAAGTGTGCATCTACTCATGGACAAGAGGCTTGTGCTCTTGAAAGCATGAGATGTAAACTTTCATGGCGTCTTCCTTGGCCGAGCTGCACGCTTCCTTCTGCGCAGTGACACAGTTGGCAGGTGTAGTTCGGTAGAAAGAAAATAGTTCCGACATGAAACTGCTCACAACAGGGTCTGTGGATTATCTTGAGTAACCTGGTCATGATTTCTGTAAAGAGACATTGCTGTTGAGTTTTCAAATGTATTTTCTGGCACTTTGAGAACCACAAGCTGAGTGCCATCTAGTTCCGTTATACTGGAGAGAAGGCAGACATCTCTACTGCTGATATCTCCAACACTGCAACTCACACCAAACAATCTAAATTAATAAATAGCACCACAGGTAAGAGGAAAAATATGTATTTTTCATTTTGGGGTGACTCATTTTGCGCTTCTTGTATCATGTTACCTACTAAAATGGAAATATTTATAGAAAAAAATCGTGTTAGAATTTGTATCATTGATCATGAATTATTCAAATTATTTAAAAATGTGTTAAAAATTGTTTTAAAAAACACTTTTTCATAAACACAAGTAACCTGCTTCTTAATTATTGTACAATTGTCTCATATAATTTCTATTTTTCTCCTCTTTCCACTCACTCCTACACCACCATTCCTCCATGTCTTTTATCCATGTATAATCCACTCCTCCTTTCATACTCCCTCACATCCATCTTTTATACTCACTCTTCACCATCCATCTCCTCTGCTTTTTTCTCCTCCTGCTCCCTCTGCAGTAAAAACCAACAGTATGACAGTAAGTGGTACATCCCGCTGACTGAGCTGACCTTCCAGGGCCCCGAAGAGACCGAGCCACTTACCATCCCCCAGGTCCCCGATGAGGAGCTCGATGCCATGAAAGTCAAGATCTCACACCTCCGCAGTGAGATTCAGAGAGAGAAGGTAGCGCTTAAACACTGTTTCACTAAAATCTGTTCAAGAACTAAGAACAAAAGTCTGGTTTTCAGATTGATAGCTGCATTTTTTAAGCTTGTCTTTTGGGTTTTGAAAGAGTCTCATACAACATGTTAGATATATCCAAGGTAAGGTTTCCCACGCAAACAGTCAAACGTTTTTACCTCTGTGATTTCAGAGAGCCAACAAGGGCTCAAAAGTCATTGACCGTCTCAGGAAGAAGCTGTCTGAACAGGAGTCTCTGCTGCTGTTAATGTCTCCGAGCATGCCCATCAGAGTCTACAACAAGAACGGCAAGGTGATGACACTCTCCAACTTCATCATCATTTCTGCCCCATCATCCTTCCTCCTCCTACTGCTCCCTGGACGCTCTTCTTCTCCATATTTCATCTGTTCTTCTCATTTCACTGCATTTTTGTCGTCCTCTGCGTCATTACCAGCACAATATCCCCTCGCTGATCTTCCTCAAAATGAATTCTCCTTGATGTGTCTCAGACTTTCTTGTATCAGCGTGGAGCAAATGCTGTCTGATAGCTTTCATCTGTTAGAGCTGCCTGAAAGAGAACAAACGACTACAGAGCTAAAATTTTGATGTTATAGATTTGCAAAGATGGCACATGTCCTTTTAATTTTTCAGCACGCCTTTCCTCAGATTAATCGGCAATGAAATAACAGCCATTCTTTTTGTCTGTGTTTGTGTTCAGAGTTACAGTTTCCTGATTTCATCCGACTATGAACGTGCAGAGTGGAGGGAAATAATGAAGGAACAGCAGAAGAAATGTAAGTGTCCCAGAAATGTCTGATCCAAACGAGGATATATACATTTTTTATTCGTGTAAAAGGCAACCTAGGCACTTGAAACATGTTTGCAAAATGTGGACACATGTACATTAGCAACTACCAATCCAACAACTTTGTGATGAAGATGGAGAGACCAATGTAAGGTGTCATTCACATGTACATTTCTTGTCCTCTCTTAAGGTTTGAAAACTTCCTCCTTGACATCCATGGAGCTGCAAATGTTGACCAACTCTTGTGTCAAACTGCAGACTGTCCATCACATTCCACTTAGCATCAATAAAGAAGGTAAGGTACTATTTTTTACATGAAAGTTGATTTTAAAGGAACACTTCTCCCACCAAGTGAGCATTCGTAAATCAATTACTCACCACATGCAGTGCGTGTGCTTTCAGACCTAGAGTTGTCTTGCTTTGGTCTGAATCAGGGACAAATTTTCTGACAAAGTTGAATAAGTGCCTAGAGCATTTACAAGCGGACCAGATCAAATGCCTTGTGTGAGAAAGCTGCTCTTGATTGGTCAGAATTTCCATGCGGGGAAAATCCAGGAACTAAACAAAATGTTGAGAACACTTGCAAGATAAATGTGACACTTTCTAATGTCACAATGGAGGGACAACTACGCAGGTTGATTTTAGTGCTGGTCATCGTGGACTATATTGCTGTCATTGTTCATTTTAGTCAAACCATACAGTGGCACGGCTCCAACTAGAAAACAATGTTTTGATGCATTGGATGTGCTGAATGTGCATATTAAGGCAGTGCAGGAGGAGGTGCACATTAATAATCCTCCAGGACTGTAACATGCTCATGTTTAACCCAAACAATGTGTCATGTGACTGCAGTTGGTTCAGATCAAGGTCGGAACACGTTCTCACCACAAACGAACCGCACCAGAGTTCGTTTGTAACCAGACCGAGACCACCTCTCCAAGAAGGTCTGCCCAAACGAACCGCACTTAGGGGGCAAACAAACTTGAGTTAGATAGAACCGAACCAAACAGGGCAGGTGTGAAAGCTCCCCTAGTTTTTTTTTGTATGCCTCCGGTGAACAAAGATTATAAACACTGAGAAAATTCTTTATAAATTGAAGTAAAAGCGCTTAGCATCAGCAAAACTACATCAAAACATCCGTTTGCAAACTCTAATGCAGCATGTGCAGTATAACACAAGTTTCATTTAACCCGTATTTTGCTCAGTAGTTCCCAAACAGCCTTTTCCCACAAAAATGAAAATTCAACTTAACTATGCTCATTCAAAGCCAGACTCCATTTACAAAAATAGTAATTTTACCTCACTGAACACAGGAGCTGCTGGTCTACCACTGCCTCGATCACTTATCAGTTGTTTGTTTTTGTGTAACTTCGGTGCTTAAAGGCTTTGTTCGCACTCACCAATGTCACACAGTAGCACAAACAACCTACCATTTGAGGCAGTGGTAGACCAGCAGCTCCTGTGTTCAGTGAGGTAAAATTACTGTTTTTGTCAATGGAGTCTGGCTTTGAAGAGAACATAGATAAGTTTCACTTTCCTTTCACGTTTCCCGTCAGTCAGGGCTGTCTGTTTGGGAAATACTGAGCATACAAGTGAATAAATGAGACTTGGATTATACTGCAGAGCTGCATGAGAGTTTATGAACAAATGATTTGAAATAGTTTGCTGTTGTTAGATGCTATGACTTCAATTCATCAAGAATTTTCTTCTTTTCTTTGTAACCGTGGTTGCCTCACAAACATAGTGTGGATGGGATGAGTAACTGATACAAATGGTCATTTGGGGGATGATGTTCTCCTTTAACACTGAAATGCTGTTCACTAAAACAAAGTCGTCTGTATCACACACCGATGCTCTCACATGATGGATTAAATAGATATGTTTTCACAATGAAATTATAAGCTGTTTGGGGCTGTATGTATAAATGTGTGGTTACACTTTCACACCTCCTTAAACACATTCTTTTTCTATACATGTCTCGTACGGCAGCTCTGTTGTTCACCACAGAATGCTAGACAAAATGCCATGGAAAGAAATGATTATGATTAATAGTTGTGATTGAGATGAGGATAAAAACTTCACAGAGTTTTAAGCCATGTGTTTTATACTGTACAGGGCTGTTTTATCCCTTCCTTCCATGTCTGACTCTGCTCCAAAACAAACAGAGATCTGCATGCTTTTCTAATCCCTCCTCACTGTCTTTTTTCTCTCTTTCTCTCCTCACTGACTGTTTTTCCAGAGGATGAATCCCCCGGTCTCCACGGGTTCCTGAATGTAATCGTCCACTCTGCCTCCGGCCTCAAACAGAGTCTGAGTGAGTCATTCACCTTTAGCCTTCCTGCGCACAACAGAAAATAGACAAAATTAGTTACTAAGAAAAGCTCTACTTTAATGTGACCGCAGAGCAGTGGAAAACTTACAGGGTATTTTCTGGTGGGGACTTTTGGAAGAATGTGTTTCCCTCAGACTTTACTTTTATTTTATGTCCATCTTTCAAGTCTCACTACTTGCATTTTTGTTCGATTTGTAGGAATTTACACTTTTAAAAAGTATGTCTTCTGCTGCTGGTTTGGTGTATTTCCTGAGTTGTGTAACACCTGCATGAAACATTTTGACAAACTGACTCATTCCTAAGTTGCTTTCTGGGTAGAACATCTAACATTTTGCCAGTTTGATTGCTATGTAAAGTATGAATGTAATGCATTCACAAACAACCCTTCAGTAGCCATATAAATGTCATATCTTATCAACCCTTTCCTCTCTGTCAGATCTCTACTGCACATTGGAGGTGGATTCCTTTGGCTTCTTTTCAAATAAAGCCAAGACGAGAGTATATCGATACACCACTGAACCTAAATGGAACGAGGTAAGAGACTGGCACAATTTAATGCACCTGTACATATTCCAGTTGCAATAAAATGTCCATTTGCAGTCTGTATTAAAGGAACAGTGTGTAAAAATTAGGGAGATTTAATGGCATCTAGCAGTGAGGATTGCAGATTGCAACCAGCTGAAACTTCCTCTGGTTCCTTTAGTGTTCATTGTTCAGGAGGTTTTTACCAGGAGCCGAATTTTCTGCAGAGGTCTCTTCCTCTCCAAAACAAATGGACCAGGAGTCTCATTCATAAAACAGTGCGCAGGATCCATACTAAAAATGTATGGACAGACAAAAGCCAAAACTGGCGTGCGCCAAAAAATGTTCAATAATTTCTACAGTCTGGCTTCCACCTCTCCATCTGTTTCCTGTGTCCAAAATGTTCGTAAGCATGGGTCAAAGTTGCTCCCATCAAGTCTGTTTTCATAGATTACAACTTTTGCATGGGAAGTGGTGTACACCTCTGTCAGGCCTCGTTTTGTGCGTACACGGTGTTTATAAATGAGACAGCAGGTGATTAAAACCACTAAAAACACTGAAAACAGTTTCACTTACAAATCATTAGGCTGCTAGCACAGCACCTGCAAATGTGTGCTCACCATTTTTCTCCGATAACTTAAGATCCAGACGTTCAGGAGGTTTTTACCGGGGGTTAAAGTATCCACAGAGGCCTCTTCCTCTCCAAAACGAACTAACCTGGCCATTGAAACAGGTAAAACCACTGAATAAAGCAGTTTGTCTCTTGTCACAGAGAGGCTGCTAACTATAGTGATTGACATGAAAACGTGAATGGCCCTAGTCGCCACCGACTAGTGTTTTGAAGGTGTAACAGACACACCACCGCACAAGTATAAATGCTCACAATGGTGTAGGCTACGGTGTAGGGTCTGCCACACAAGTATAAATCCTACTTTAGGTACCAAAAGTACAACAATTCTTATTTATAGGAAAAGAAAACATACTTATTATATTCCATTTCCGCCAATATATCTCCCTAAATCCTAGACACAATGAACCTTTAATAAAGGGGGCAGTACTGAAATACTTTTTACATTTTACAGTTTACTGAATCAGTCATGACCTTGTAATGTCTGTGTTCAAACCTTAAGGCCTTTTAAAGTTTAAAATTGAATTGGTCCATGCACAGATTTGTAAGATGTCCTTCCTTCTTTCCAACAAACAGAGCCATACATGAACTCTTTTCCTTCTTGGTACAGTTTGTGCTGCCTGTCATTTGTCTGACATCTGGTCCTGTAATCAGTTAACTGCCCGTCTTTGAGTGATGAAATAACAACAGAACCCACCCAGAGCATCTGCAGCCCCTGCAAACATATAGCAAAAACACTCCCATATGCATGCTGTATATGCATGCAAGCGGGCGTACACACACACAAACATGAATACATTAATGACACAGCTGGATGTTGGAGGTTAGCGCCACAGAGGAGGAAGAGCTTTGAGACACAATCAGCGGTTCGGTTCATCTGCGGCACAGTTTTTTCCGTCACGGACCGACCGAAGACTCTTTGAGGATTTTTGCTCAGCAAAGTGGAAATAATATCAGCTAATGAGGAGCTGCTGGTGATGACTCACATCTGTCCAAATGCTAAGTGAACCAACACAGTGTGGGCCTCGGAACGATGTACAAAACATATGCGGAGTGCTCCCCGAACATAATTACAGGGAATGTTGGTCAGCTGTGTGGTGGAATGTAAGGATTATAACGTATGGTGGATGCTTATTATCCTCGTTGTTATTCCCGTCTCTGTTTGTGTCATTATACTGAAATCTCGGGACATTTTTGCGACAATCTCCCTGCAACTATTTCTGTGTTTTCTCTTCCCCCTAAGGAGTTTGAGATTGAGCTGGAGGGCTCTCAGACCCTGAGGCTGCTGTGCTACGAGAAGTGTTACAACAAGACCAAGCAGAACAAAGAGGATGGAGAGAGCACAGACCGCATCATGGGGAAAGGACAGATCCCGGTATGACATGACGTCACCCCCCCCCTCTTTCAGCAGACCCAACATGACTCATTACTGATGGCCAGTTATGTCACCACCACTGCCACAAAGCATGAAATCCATATTATTGCTCAGTGAACGACTTAAACTGAGCATGATGTAAAAATTGGCTGATTAGATTAATTGCCCGAATATGTAATGGGTGGGTGGGGGGTGGTTAAATGGTGAGTAATTGCTGTCCAGTGCATGTCAGGGAGGATGAGGATGTGGATTTTATTTTAAGAGTGACGCAAAGCTTTAATTTTCATGCCGTTTATCTATCGTGCTGCCAGGTTTAGCTGTTAAAACATTACTCATAGTCCAGAGTCTGTAATGGTTATTGAGTAACAGCAGTGCCAACCTGCAGATGTGGAAATGACATCATGTGCTTTGTCCCTAAAAAGCGCCCAAATCCTGATAACATCCCGAAAACAGACAACGCAGACACTGTCTTCAGTGGTCTAGCCGTGAGCCTGGCTGATCGCAGGTTGATAGCAGACCTAGATAGCAGGTGATTAGGTTGCCAAGACGACGCCAGCCTGCCGGATAATGCCAAGTGTCACTCAGGATATCAACAGAGAGAAAGCAAAGACACAATAGAGGGAGAGATAAATGCACAGCAGAAAATTTAGTTGGTTCACCATCATCAAAAATGTCTTTCTCTTACTCTTTCCCCCACAGCAGGGCAAGTGTGTGAGTGTGTGTGTGTGTGTGTGTGTGTGTGTGTGTGTGTTTGTGTGTGTTTAGGTGTGTGAGATTATATACTGCTAAGTATTGTTTCACCTCACACCCACAAAGACTCACAAATGCATCTTATTTTGGTGTCTGAGAGAAATATGATGTCAGTTTTTCTCAAACAAACTGAGAAACAAAGTGCAAGAAAAATACAAAACCCAAACACTAATGACTGTCACCTTCTTATATTAGTGATATTGAAATCATAGAAACACCGATGCAATGTTAGCTTTATGTCATATTCGCAGTATTCCTTCTGAGCAGCTTGTGTCCTGAACACTGTTCAAACTGCATCAGCCATCCACAGGAGGACGAGTCTCCTAGTTGCTTGTTGTCTGCCAAAACTGTGAAATTACAGTCACATGCTCCACCTAGTGGCTCCCTCAGTAATCTTGTGACACGGGCACTTCTTGACAGATGATGTCATTCCAAACAAACCACCCAGAGTGGTGAGAGAGTTGCTCAGCAGGATTTTTATAAATCCAGGGTGAGAAACTGCCACTCCTGTCTCAGTAGAAACCACAGTGGCTGAGAAATCCCACAGATTACTGTTCAGTTTTACCAGTTACCAAAAAAAAAAATATATATATATATATATATTTAGAACAGAATTAAGAAACCATTAATGGAGAAAAATAGGGAGTGCTGCACTGGGTTAAGGCACTGTGTAATTAGTTATAAGAAATCAGGTGCTCTCCAAGGATGGGGCAGTGAGTCACATCAAGATAAAAAATAATGACTGGCCAGCTCACTCAAGTGTAAGAGTCCATAGTACAGGCAGGCAGTCCAAAAATGCATCCAAGGCACTCTGACTGTAGTTAAAAATCCTTTATTAATACATGGATACACCAATGCGTTTCAACTAGAGAGTCTCTCTCTGGTTTTAAATACAGTCAGACCGTCTCAGATGCATTTTTGGACTTTTAAACTGAGTCATCTGGCCAGTCATTGTTTTGTTGTCTTTAAAGTAATCATTAACTTGTCAGTGTGTCGGTAAATCACCACATACCTGCCTGAACATGTTTCTGACTAATGTAAATATTGTGCTATTCAAATGTTTATTTCTCTTTAATCTCTGTTGTTGTCTGTTTGTGTGCTTATTGTTGAGTTTTGCATATGTGACTGCATTCCCTCATTAACATAGAAATGATCAGTTTTTCATAAATGTGAGTGTATGTGGGGATTTGAGTTTGGATGTTCTCCCTGTGTCAGCGTGGGTTTTCTCTGGGTAGTCCAGCTTCCTCCAACAGTCCAAAGACATGCAGGTTAATTGGTGACTCTAAATTGTCTGTAGGTGTGAATATGAGTGTAAATGGTTGTCTGTCTCTATGTGTCAGCCCTGTGATAGTCTGGTGACCTGTCCAGGGTGTACCCAGCCTCTCGCTCAGTGTCAGCTGGGATAGGCTCCAGCCCCCCCGCGACCCTCAAGAGGATGAAGCGGTTACGGAAAATTAATGAATGAATGAAAAATTTTAGTTTCAACGGCAATATGCTTATGATATAGTAAAAATGCCAAAATATTAAATGATGTTTGTGAATTAACTTGAAAACCTCCACATTTTTAGTTTACCATATCAGCTCCTAGGATGTTACGATGTTAACGCAAATTCAACCAATTCTTGTGAATTCTGTGCAACCGTGCAATTTTGTCCAATCCCTGCAACTTTGTCTGCAAATTTGAGCTATCGTCATAGTTTCCCATGAGTTTCATCAGTCATAGCAGTCCCCTCCACAACATCACCAAACACACTTTCTTGTTTCTGGTTGTGAAGATGCAGACATGTGCAATCGTCTCACACTTAAAAACAAAAAATTACTGCTAAAGACCATGCAAGACAATTCCTTGATGTTCTGCATGAGAGCAGGGGTTGAACTTTATTGCACTGTGAACAATCTCATGGTGGAACAAAAATGATGATCAATTAACAAACACTTTTCTACTGCATGAACACACGTGGAGAATAGCTGAAATGTGTTGATAAGAGACATGATCAATCACCATGACAGAGGCATCTATATCTATTGTATGTACTGAAAGCATCAAGGTGAGAGATTTAATATGCATGTTTAGTGGAACTTATACTGGAAGTTACCTTCAATCGGTAATGGATTATACAAAAAAAACAACTATTTTTAATTTTTCATACCTGCTCCTACAATTTTATTTCAAAAACGTATTTACAGACCTGATTTATTATAAATGTAGGTAAACAGCACAGGGCTCGCTAGACTTTTGACCAGTGGAGTCTGATTTAGATAAAATCGTATTGCTCGGCCAAAAACTTGAGCTTTTAAAACATTTTTATCAGGAAGCCAAAGGAGCTTTGCTGTTTTTAGTGGAATGTAATTCTTTGTAGATAAACGGCTCAAGCCAAAGAGCACTCTCAGCGGTGAAAGATTCAGTTATGAGAAACATGATCCTGCTTCGCACGCAACCAGATGGGGCTTAGCCTAGGTAAACATACAACATAGAGTGTACTGTGTGTGTGTGTGTGTGTGTGTGTGTGTGTGTTTGTTTCAGTGTGTCAGATGTGTGTGTGTAGATTTTATTGCCCCAAATGGCATGTCTCTTCAGATCTGAGTGTGTTTGTGCTTGTTTTGGTGTGAATTTAGTCTCTACAAACAAATTACATTTGTTTATTGTGTTTATGAAAAAACAGTGAAGGGGTGTAACGTAACAAAACCACCTTTGGAAACATTCTACCACGAGAGAGGGAATATGTGCACTGTTTATACAATTATAGCTTTATGCACTGCTTTGTTGACATAACTGAGCAGAACATATGTGGGGCGACAGTATGTAGAAATAATATAATCTAAACAAAGCACATTAATATTAAAAATTCATGTAGCTGTAGTGGTTTATTGGAAAATAACGATAATGATGTTCCTTTATCCATGGGTCATAATATTCCTAAATTTACAAATTACAAATAAATACAATAAAAGTACCAATACAATGACATAGAAAAACTTTATTACAAGTAAAAGTCCTGCATTCAAATCCCTTTTAAGTTGAACAGGGTGTCTGCAGGTCCTTAAAGGGTCTTAAAATGTCTTAAATTCAATTATATAAATAGTAGGCCTTAAAGGTTATTAAACTTAGGCTAAGACTAAGGCTTAGATTTGAATTTGTGAGGTCTTAATTGCCACAACCATCTAATGTCATGTGTTCTAATTCCACATTTCTAATGTTACTAAAAAAAAAGTAGACCCTACCACTGAACCTAATGCTGTCTTTTTACTTCATGCTTGTACTTACCTTTTGGGAAAATGTAGACTGACACAACTCAAAAATCTGTCTTATATTTGGCTAAAAAGTATCTTGCCAAGGTCTTAAAAAGCATTAAAGTTAAGTGTCTGATACCTGTAGACATGGTGTTGAAGTACAAACATAATATCTGCTTCATGTACTTTAAGTATCAAAGTAAAAGTAGTAAATCTTAATTTAAAAAGTAACTAGTAACCAAACCTGACAAATAAATGTAGTGGAGTAAAAACAGCAAGATTTGTCTCAAATGTACAGTGGTGGAAGAAGCACTTAGATCTTTAACGTAAGTAGACATAGCAATACCACCTTATGATAGTATTGGTTTTTAAGGCTCCTTCCTGTATAATAGACTCCCTATTACCTTATGTCCCTCCACGAACCCTGAGATCCTCTGCGCTGCTCTTTAAACTGTTCCTAATGTCACTACAAAAACCTTTGGGGATGCTTCCTTTTGCTGCTACGCCCCAAAAATATGAATCTCCCTGCCTTTTAGACTTGTTGAGTCAGTGGACAGTTTTAAACAACGACACAAAACATATCTTTTTAATATAGCCTATAACTTGCAGCATGTTTTAATATTCTTAGTATGTATTTTTTATTACTTGATTAATTATTGATTTCTCCTTGAATAAGTGTTGAATAAAAAAAAAGCAAAAGTACATAAGTATTAGCATCGATATATACTTAAATATCAGAAGTAAAAGTATAAATTTTATAGAATAACACATTTCAGAATAACATTGTATTTATAGATGCAACATAATTTTTTATTGAATTGTGTTTTGTATTAATAATCTGAATCTTAAAAGTAGTAACAAACGTTATCAATAAATGTATAGGAGTAAAATGTACAATATATCCCTCTGAAATGAAAAGGAGTAAAGGTTCAAAGTAGTTTAAAATGGAAATACTCAAGTAAAATACAAGTACCTCAAAATTGTACTTAAGTACAGTACATGAGTTACATTCCACTGCAGGAAATGTTGTGGAGTAGAAGCAGAAAGTTGCAGAGAATGGAAATACTCAAATGTAAAATGGATTTAAGTACTTAACTTGAGTGTAGTTACTTTCCATCACTGCAAAGGGGGGAAGAACACACTGATCACCCTGCACAATCACAAACTGAAATATTTCATTTAAAAAGCAGCTTACTAAATATACTATATGCTACTATATTACTCAATATATGCTAACATGTATTGTCCTTTTGTGTTGCCTCCACCAGCTTGACCCTCCAACTCTCCAAGGCAAAGACTGGCAGAGAACAGTTATTCCCATGAACGGGGTGAGTGGGTCATGTTAATTATCCTTCTCCTTTTTGTGTATTGCTTTCCTGTATTTCCTCCTCCATAAGTTGACAAATTTGTTAGCTATTTATTGTCACAAAATACTCATATTACGGGTCATTGTAATGTAGCTTCAAAACAGGCTTCCATTTATAATATGGTAGCACACAGCAGTGAGGAATATTTAAAACAATTTTTCCAGGACGTGGTTCAGCAGCTGATTTCTCTACATCTGGTTTTAACATGAAGGGATTTCCTAAAGATCCTAAAAATCCATTGCAGATGGATGTCAGGCCTGTAACACTTTGTAAACCTGTTCTTACTGTAAGCCCTTTTTTCCTGTGTTAGATCGAGGTTAAACTTTCCATGAAGTTCACCAGCCGAGAGTTTAGCCTGAAGAGGATGCCCTCACGAAAACCCATGGGTGTGTTCGGAGTCAAGATCTCTACAGTGACCAAGTGAGTTGACATTAAAACACACAAAAGCTACCTCATCATAGAGTAATCACTGATCACCTGTAGTGTTTAACTCCCAACAGGTATCCTTGCTTCTATGGGTGTATCAGGGGACAATGGCATGTTTGTATTTTCCAGTGGTGTTCCTCAAGGCTCGATACTCGTCCTCCTCTTCTTTTATGGATGTGCTCATCTTTTTGTTTTTTTCCTCACATCCTAGATTATTGTGCTGATTTTACATGTCTTTTAGTGTAATTTGACTTGTAATATAGAAGAATTCACACTGTTTGCCGAGCTGATATCTCCAGCTGGATGGATGTTTGTCCGACACCTGAGGGCTCTTTGTAAATGAAAAATTGGTACTTTCTCATCAGCATTAACAAACCCACATTCTTTCCTTTGCAGACTTGCAAGTGTCACGTTCTTATACTAGACAGGAGCAGGCTGTCTGTTCACACCTCATCCAAAAATTTGCATGTTTTAGACCAGTGGTTCCCAACTGGTAGGTTGCGGGTCCATTCTGAAAGTACTGCAAGTGACTCGCGAACGTGTCAAGTTTAAGTTTCCAGCACAGAGCTTTTATTTTGAAGTCCAGTTTCCTGCTGTAGAGTGAGTAAGACAGAGACAGCAAACTAGCTCAACAACATGAACAAACACAAGTATGACACTGAATATATTTAACTGTGTGGACCTTGAACTGATGACTAAGAAGAAATCTGAATCCTGTGGCTGCGCCAGTCGGGAAACACTTTTTGAGCGTTTATAAAGACAACTATTAGTCTCCAGTCACACAATCAGTTCTGCAGCAGGTATTATACTTAAATGTTAACCATCTTAGTAACATTTGCTTATCAGCGCTAAAAATAAACAGTACAAAAACATGCATATTTTACATATTGCTCAGTATTTTCCAAAGCAAAACACACAATATAAATTAACTTCCTACATTCTAGGCAGGCTGCCATTTATTTCCTGTGTAATGAAAATGAACTTGCAGACTTGCACACCTAAATATTCATTCATTTTCGATAACCGCTTATCCTGTTAGAGGTTATGAGGGGGGGGCTGGAGACAACCATTCACACTCACATTCACATCTACAGTCAATTTATACTTAGAAGTCACCAATTAACCTGCATGTCTTTGGACTGTGGGAGGAAGAGTGGGCGCCCGGAGAAAGCCCACGCTGACACAGGGAGAACATGCAAACTCCGCACAGAAGGGCTCCTCAGTAGACATTGTTGTTCCTGACAAGTGAGATTAATGAGGATTAAAGAAAACAAGTGGGTTAACTAGATTTACCAGTAACAATCAATTAGCGTTGTTGAGAAAAACATTTCAACAGAAACACAGGCAAAGAGCCAGAGGCAATTTTCGTCCTTCCAGTAGTCGAAGCAATACAAAACACAACTATTAATCATGTTCATTTTATCTTTTTTAAAACATCTAGTGCTTTGTTTATTTAATATTTCTGCTGGTGTTTCAATCAGCTGCTTGTTGGTGTTCATTAATGTTTGTCTTGATCCAGGCGAGAGCGCTCCAAGGTGCCCTACATCGTCCGGCAGTGCCTAGAAGAGATTGAGAGGAGGGGTATGGAAGAGGTGGGCATTTACCGGGTATCAGGCGTGGCCACTGACATTCAGGCCTTGAAGACTGCCTTTGACACCAGTGAGTATAACCTTTATCTATATACAGGTTTTATGCAATAGCTCAAGAGGAAGTTTCTGTTATATTCTGTTGTATTTGAATATGTAAAATATTTCGATTTAGAATTTAGATTAGTCTTCACATCCCTTATTGTGGTTATAATACTGTACCTGCCATGCATTTCTAGGAGAGAAGGCTGAGGGGGTTTATTACCGTCCCCTGAAGGAAACCCTTGTTCTTATCTTTCCATTTCTGTCGATCAGGTGATCAGTATCGTAGCCCTGTCTGACTGTGAGCTGTTAACATGAGGGGTGTTCTCTGATGTGAAACAGGAACTAATTCTATACGAACTTGCATTTTGCATGTGCTAATTGTGAATGTATCTTGTTTGGAGTGTGTATTTTGCAGTTTCAGATTTTGAGATACAGAAAAATAAGACGCATGGCGACTGCTGCTTGTGCCAAGCCATTTCCCTGTTCTAACATCTCCCTTTGTTATTGCACAACCTCCCGTCTTCATGTTGTTCTTGCCTCTCCCCTGCAGATCATAAAGATGTGTCAGTGATGATGAGTGAGATGGACGTCAACGCCATCGCCGGGACCTTGAAGCTGTACTTTAGAGAGCTGCCAGAACCACTTTTCACTGATGAGCTCTACCCCAATTTTGCAGGCGGCATCAGTAAGTCACAGGCCTACTGACACTCTGAAACATAGCTAATTATGAGTTGTTGCAAGAAATGTCTACAAACATTGCTCAAGAAAGAGTCCTTCATTTGCAGGATATGTAAAAACTAAACTTGTTTGCTTCTGTGCAGCCCTGTCTGACAGTGTTGCCAAAGAGAGCTGTATGTTGAACTTACTGCTGTCACTGCCAGAACCCAACCTGGTCACATTCCTTTTCCTTTTGGATCACCTGAAGAGGTAAGTTAACACACACATTCTTGCACAATGTGTAGACTGGAATATTCACATTCACAAAAATAACGAAACTCGAACTTGCACAACTACAAGCCATAAATCTACAGGAGGTGCATTCAACTACACAAGTACATACATTAACATTCCCTGTGTCATTTGTGTCCCAGTGTTATCCAAATGTTGATAAAATATTTAAAACTTGCAATACAGAAAACAAAATCTAATATCACTTTGACATGACATGCTTAGTCCTGTCACAATAATCAATAAATCAATTAATCGTACAATAAATGAAAATGAACTCAATAATTTTGCTGACCTCAGTATATCGCCAGTTCATTTTATTTATTGTTTTTGGTTGTTTTGTTTTATTTATTTAGGATATTTTAATTTTCTTCCTCACATTCCAATTCAAATGTTAAATATTCTTGAGAAATAAAAGTTTATTTCTCTTTGAAAGGGTGTTATTGCATTATTATGCTATATTTTCATTATATTTTGAAAAATGGTCTCAAAAAGACATTGACAATAATATAATTTATCGCAATAATTTCTGGGAAAATATATCACCCTGCAAAATTTGTTATCGTGACAGGACTAGACATGCTGTTTTCAAAATGGCGCCCTATTGTGTGCTGTATTCACCTTTGTGGTTTTAAAGCAAAAGCAGCCATTAATGTAGGGTGTCATTAAACTGCAACAGGAAATATCTCCTGGTTACCATGGTGATTTTTAACAAGAGGCTCAAACATGATAGCATGTGATCACTAACAATGCAGAAACATCTGTGAAAGCATTGTACAAATGCGTCATAAATAGTGAAATGTTATAGCTTATAAAACAGGGTTCCAACGGTCATGGAGAACTTGGGAAAAGTCATGGTATTCCACAATCTCATTTTCCAGGCCTGAAAAATTAATGGAATTAGTAACATCATTGAAAGTTTTGGAAGAGTCATTGAAATTTGTTGTGTCTAATAAAATTGTTACAGCATGCATTGCAGTGCAGCGTCAGCTTTTCAACAACCCTTCAAATATTTAACATTATGAATATCATTCAACTTTTGAACACATTCATATTAATTAGACCCCTTTTAACCCTTTCAACAGTTCCTGTCACTTAACCCTATACTTAAGCATTGAAGCCAGCATTGCAGTGTAGTGTCAGCTTTTCAAAAAACCCTAAAATATTCCACATCCACAACAAAACTGTCAACTGTCACTCCTCCGCTCTGGGAGCTCTGCTGCTTCATGCCCACAGACCACCTATAATAATATAGTTAATATTTCAAGTTAAGTGTACAGTTCTGTTCATGTTGCATGTTGTGAATGTTCATGTGAAAATGTGCGGGAACCCAATGAACTTTAAAAATACGGTTAAGGTAGCAGGAGATTGGAAGATGTGAAGTCTCGAGACGGAAACTATGGAAAGTTCAATATTTGTTTGTAGGGACAGTAGCTAACAAGGTGTAAGACAGGCTTAATAAAATAAAATGATTATTTCTGTTTATTTCTTTGAGTAATCGATGAGTCATTTCAACTGTGAAATGTAAAAAAAAATATGGATTTTAGGATTTGGAAAGTAACTGTCAAAGGAATTGTGGCGTCTTTGATATTAATGTACTTGAAGCACACACAACACACAGATCCATCACTGCACATTAGCATCACCTGCATGTGCTCTCGTTATCTATCTACACCACTAATGGACTTTGTCTGTCATCGTCTCCTCAGGGTGGCAGAGAAGGAAAGTGTCAACAAGATGTCTCTCCACAACCTGGCAACGGTGTTTGGGCCGACCTTGCTGAGGCCTTCCGAGAAGGACAGCAAGATCCCCGCTAACCCCACCCAACCCATCAGCATGGGCGACAGCTGGTCCCTGGAAGTCATGGCACAGGTGAGCCACACAGAATCTTTATCTTTGAATTTTCTGGGTTCATTCACAGTATTGAAATGTATGGGATGCGATTTTAGTCATTTCCAGGTCTGGAAAGTATGACAAAGAAAAGATGTATGTGTTAACCAAAACTATTATCCCTATTCTGCCCTTATAAATATTACATTTGGTTTTCTTAAAAATAAATTGATCATACAAGCAGGGTGTTTTTAATGCGATTTTGAGTCTGAAAACTTGAGTCTGGATAAGTGTGGAACTTGGAAATGGAAAATGTGTAAGAACCCTGACTTTTGTAAAGCTTTTTATCAGAAAAAATAAACAAACAAAAACAGATGCTGTTATGTATTATGTTGTAGTACTGGAGTCACCACTAGGTGGTGCTGTAAGAATACAAATGCTGTGCTGTATATGTTGAAGCTGCACTAGTAAACACGGTTCAGTCTGATTCAAGCCGTCTCTTCCTTGAGTCCCATATATTACAGATGCCAAAACCTAATTTGTCTCTCTTCTGTTTTCTATCCCCTTACAGGTCCAGGTGTTGCTGTATTTCCTCCAGCTGGAGACGATTCCCACCCCAGACAGTAAACGACAGAGCATCCTCTTCTCCACTGAAGTATAGAGCTAAAACTGACTCTGCCGATGTGAGACTTTGACCATGAAGGAGTGAAAAAGAGATGGACGGTGGCTCAAAGTGAGCCTATAGTAGTATGTTTTCGAATTGACTGACCAGATTCCATTAGGCTGGAAAGGATTGTCTCTGGCGATGCCTGCTCCCCTCAAACACAAGAGGGCGTCATTGGACCTCTGGAGCTCTGGAGGATGTGAGGTCCTTACCATTCATATCGCTCATTACCTGATAGTTAGTCTGATTCTTTGTACCCACAGTGATGGTGTGGGTACACCTGCCATCTACATTTCTCCACCATGATACTTGTTGGTCTTTACATTGAACCTTTGCAGCTTGTTGTGGTTCATAAATCAAGACGTTGTCAAAATCAGTCCATAAGAGAACAGAATGCGTCTTTCTTGATTCTTGTATTAGTTTGCCAACAGATCAGAGTTTCTGTGTACCTTTGTGTTCGGGCATTGCTCTCAATCTGTCTTTATTTTGGACAATCATCGGCTCACTGCAAAACATGTTTATCCATCAAACGTTGCTTCATGTCCTGCTGAGGAGAATTCTAACCGTGTCTTACATCATCTCGGCGCATCGTTTCTTGGAAGACAAGAGGAACATTTGTGCTGTTTGTGGGAGTTCAATAGTGAACACCAAGAGCTGCCACGGTACTTCTTTGTGTCAGGAAGCCAACACCTGTATGTTAAAGTGTTTACAACGTAAACAAAGCCCGGTTGGAGTCAGAAACAAGTGCTACAGCTAGACGAGGGACTGTAAGAAGGGGAAAAAAAAAAAGGAACCCGATGATTAGTAACACACTGCAATCTGACTGCCTGCGTTTTTTCATAAAAGCAAATTTCCTCTATTTGTGCTGTTTGTGTCTCAAGGTAGTGTCAGCTCAAAATATCCAGGAAGCAATATATTTTCTAACATAGGAATTGTCTGTGTTCATATCTTTGCTGACGAAATGTCCTACTTATTGTAACATAGGACATCTTGCCAAATTAATATGTCGTTTGTTTGTTTCTAGGAGAAAAAGGAAGCAGTTGTATTTACAGATACAGTATGTACATAATCTTAAAGTTGTATTTTTTTCTTTCTTTTTGTTTAACAGTATAATCATTGTTGCGATTATTGTAATTTATTTTGGGGGGCCTGGGGGGAGAAATCGGTTTGTTTTTCTATGTGAACTTTTTTTTTTTCTGTTTAAGAAAGTGGTAGGTCTTAGCCTTGACTTCAAGTCTTGCAGTAAATAAGCAGGATTTAGCCTTGTTCTTATAGAAACTACTCAGCTGTTCTGTCCAGCCTATCGATTATTCATTTTAGATATTATTATGAAGGGTAACACACACATTGTAGTTACATACTGTATGCTGCTGTGGAAAAGGCACAAGCTCTTTAACTGCTGGGTGTTCCTCCGGCAGAGCGTCTCACATCTAGAGACCGTCGCCTGTCTAGTGTAGACATTATGCAATGTCATGATAGAGCACACACTCACACACACACACACACACTCACACACACACACACACACACACACACACACACAAGTATGACATTGTGTCTTTTTGTACCATTTAATCTGTGGCCGCAGAAGTGCACTCATGCAATGTTAGAACTACTGTTTTACAATTCAAGTGACCTGAGCGATTACTAGAGCATATCTGTTGGTTTTAATGAAGGAATATTATTTTGTTTCAACTTTTCCTGACATCTTTTTTTATATTTATCTCATCCATATGGCAAAATGTCCGACTGATTCTTTGTCCCTTAAAGTACTCTTCATCCTGTTTAAGGGTTACTTTGGTATTTTTCAATCTGGACCCTATTTTCCAATGTTTTTGAGTCAAAGGGAACAACAATTTTTGGAAACCACCCCATCACGTCCCGACACTAACCTTTCCGTTTAATAAATCTACCGTTTTTTTCCATAGTAATTAGTATCTAGTTCCTAAAATGTTCAGGCAGACGGTACTTGCTGTAGCTGTGGTTGAGGGTGAGAGGCTGTCAGCGAATAATTTGTTGGGCACAGATAAACAGAGATCTGTGTGGGTACATGAGACCCTAAAAAAGAGGGTGGATCACAGGGAGTACCACCAGTTGGTCCAGGAGCTTCTCCTCGATGGTGGCTGTTTCAGGCATATTTTAGACCTGCTGTCTATCGTCGGGCTGTATAGCTTTTGGTATCCAGCAACCGCTACCATCAGTTTCTTCTCCATTGTTTACCAACTGCAAACCGCCTCTCAAATAATCCAATTGGTCAATGGAAAAAAAGATGATGAAAAAGACATGATATGGGTCGCTTTTCCGCTCTGAGTTTAATTTTTTTCAATTCAAGGAGTTCAGAATGCTCTGGCAAAAACGCCAGGTGCCTAGAGAGCAAAAACACCAGGCGCATCGCAACGCAAAAACCAGCTGCAAAAAGCTTCAATCTCATTTAAAACAATTACAAAAAGCCACTCTTAAAGCACTTTCTGTGTAATCAGGGTCTATTTTACTTTTTGTTAAACCAGAAACAGCCCCAAATCGCTATCACCAAACCCACCAGACTCCATTTAAATAAACAGTAATTTTGTCACCATAAAACACACTTCATCAAAGTCGTAGAAAAAAAAAAGAAAGCTCACAAAAATTTACTTGGTTCATCTTCCCTCTGTTCAAACCATCACCAACTCTGGTTTGGTAAAAATAAACTGTTAATTTACTCAGTTAGGTGTAAAAATATGCTGTCTCTATACACGCTAAAATGACTATTTATTTAAATGGAGTCTGGTGGGTTTGGCGATCACGATTTTGGGGCTGTTTCTGGTTAAACAAAAGGGATCTTACTCTTTAACCAAGAGGTCTGTCTCTGTAGGATCCTTTCCATAATGTTGTCATACACTTAGACTAACAATATGAGTCGGTCAGTGAAAAAAACAATCTCAAATCAATGCTGCACAAATGCCCTGATTGTTTCCATTGCAGCCTGTTTCAAGGCTCCCGGCTGCAGCACTCTTGCTCAATATTGAACCAGTTTCAAAACATGTTGTTCCCATCAGTCACTGAGACACAAAAACATGACAAAGTAGGATCCAGGTTGAAAAATACCAACGTTACCCTTTAAGCTTCAAGGTGTCCAACCCAATGGCCAATCTTAAAGGAAATCTCCTAAGATATTTTGCTCATACTAAAATTACAAATACTGATTTCAATCTCTGTGTCCTTGATTTAACATGCAGGCATGTTTTATTGACTTCTCTTTCTTCATTTTGGTCTTGTTATTGCTGTCGTGTTCGCAAATGTGTCATCATAGACTTTGGGATGTTGGTTGAGTATCTGGTTTACATTATTACAGCATGTCCTTCTCTGGCAATTCAAAGGACGGGTTCACAACTGAAAAGTGAACATTTCCTTTAGGGTAAATATCATGGTTGGTTTCCCATTTATATCATCGGCATAAAACTATAACCAACTGACCAGTTTAGTGGATCTGATAAGGGCTCGTGTGTGGTTGTGTTCATGTTCAAGATAATGTAAAAGGGGCCTAAATGTTATTAATAACACATTTAAATGTCTTAAGACTTTTTAAAAGAAGGAGTCTTTCCTTTGGATACATATCAGCTCTCTAAATGACATTTACACTCATATGATGATATAGATTCAAACGCCATTATTGTATCGACCCCATAAATAACTCAAAGTCTTCATGCCTTCAGTCCCAGTTTTTATGTACTTCCACTAATTTTTGGCCGACTGTAGCATGCACACATTGTGTCATCATGTCTGTGTCAGGATGTGAGACAGAGACATCAATGCATCACCTTTATAACAAGTCCCAATTGCCTACACTACTCTACCCTAACGTGCCTCGACACTTTTTTCGTTTAGCGCCTGTGGTATTCTGAAACGTTCAATCTCCTGTTGCCTTTGCTGAGGACAGCCACACACCTTTCATCTCTTAAAGACTAAGACAGGACCTTAACCTTAAGCACAGTCTTAGCTCATACTGTACACACCCGCTCTGCTTGCCACCTTAGTCTGACTGTGATGCTGTAACTGAAGCTGTGTTAAAGTCAGTCGTAACGGGGCAAAGGACAGCGTTTCCTGCCCATGTCCTTGTTTTGGCTCTTAAAGTTTTAGCTCCTTTAATGCCTTTTATTCTTATTTATTTATGCTTTGTCCCTGTTTGGTATAAGGAGGTCTACGGGATCTATTTATTTATGATATAATATCATCTAAAGCTGAATTAATGTTAGAAAAAATGGTCTTTATATGGTGTGCTCTCTTTGGGGAAATGTAAGTCTTATGTTAAAGTTGAAACTGTTGGTCCCGATTTTGTCCCAGAATCAGAACCACTGTGTACAAACACCTTCAAACCCACCCCCTGCTCCTGCATCGTCAGCTCATCTCTGTACTTAGATGTGTTGTACAACAGACTGGCCACTGTGATCGTTTAGCTATCTGATTTAGATAACTGAATAGCAGATGCAGGTTCTTGTCAATTTAAAAAAGGTAGATTCAAACTTCCCTCACTTTTCCATGGAGTTGTATAATATGTATTATACTAGAGAGTTATTTGGTTTCCGTTTTATTTATTGTGGCGTCCACTGACGTGCGATCGTCGAAGGGTTGAGCCTCTAGTCTCTTTGAAAAGCCGAGCTGTCAGTGTGTGGTAGAGGAGAAAAAGAGTCTTATATTGCTCTAAAAATCTGCATTGTTTTTGGTCTGTTGATTGTCAGTGTAACTGCATGTACCCTCCATAACCTCAGTCCCTCTGTACATGAACAAGTAAATAAAACAAAGGTTTAATTTTCTGTGGAAGATATGGAACATATTGCTCTATATGAAAGTTACAGATCTCCATATATTGTACATGACTCTGGTTATTATCACTACGTTTCCATAATGCTTTCAAATGACCCTCTGCTGCCACTTCTACGACATCAAACTGACCTTAGACTACTTTGGAGATATGCTAGTTTTATTTTACTCGACACGTAATGTAAAGCTGAGGATGAGACTTGCTGACCAACCACAAACACTTTTCTCTTTTTACCTTCCTGACTTTCTTTGAACTCTTGTTCCTGTTCAATATTCAATGTTCTGCTTGTAGAACTGTACAAAGGAATACTGTATTCTGAGGGCAAACATGTTTGGAAGGCATTTGCAGCCTATGTTTGTACACAAAAATGTTAAATAAAATCTCCTTGTATCTACATAGAAAGACGTGTTTGGATTTCTTTTTTTTAATTTAGCTCTCGCCCTACCCAGCATGACATAATAAACTCGACATGAATACAATAAATAGTCTACATGTTTGTGTAATTTTTCCTGATGTCTGCGTGAATTTCATCTATGCATATGAAAGAGTGAATAATTTCTGAACAAAATGTTTATTGAAATTTGAATTACACAATGTTACTATGTCAAGAAATAGATAAAAGTATTCACAGTTAGGCAAAGGAACATACAAATTAGAAATCATGGCAACATGTGCTTCTGCATAAAAAGTCTAAAAAAACAAAACTTTAATTGATTAGTATTGCCAAAAATAAAAATAAAATAAAATAGAATAAAATAAATTACAATTAATTTAAATGGAATTAAATTAAATTAAATTAAGCAAAATAAAATAAAATAGGAAGTTGATATCAGTTTTGGCCAAACTCAGTTAAATCAGTACAGCACTTTATTAATATAAAATAGGCAATTATTACAAGTTTTTTTGAGTTTTGCTCTTATATTTTCCACTGAGTACACTTTCACTGACCTGTCTTGCCACTGAGGGAGGGAGGCATTGGTTTGAGCCAAGATAGAGTTGTCATTTTTTTTGCAACCAATAAAAGAATATGCAGCAAGTAAGCCTTTCTCTTACCCATTGCTCCATCAGGGGTTGCTCCTAAAATAAAAAAAACAATAGGTCTTAATAGGGAGTCAGTGTTCAAAGTGGTGAGTACCTGTGTATGAATCCTTTTCCAGTATGTCTTCAAGTTTAAACAGTGCCAAAAAATGTGTGAGATCTGCAACCTGTGAACAATCCCTCCAGGACAGATTTGTGTCACTGCTATCACACTTTGACACAATGAGACGTGTTCTAAAATACCTCATTTTTAATTTCCAATTGAACTCTTTCAATAGTGTGCTATTTGTTACTTTATGTCCCCCTTCACACAGATCTTCCAATGATTCATCATTTATAACAGCATTCATCTCTAGCTCTCACTTTCCTTTTATATCCGAGGTGTTCCCTGACTCATGTGAAAGTTATTATTATTAAAAGTTAATTTTTATTTACTGTGTTTTTGTTTGTACAACTACATTGTTGTGTATTTTGTCCTACTATTTTTCTTCCCTCTAGACACATTGTAAAGCCATTTAGTGATCATACTTTACATTTGTCACTTGTCTTCTGGCATCTTGCTCAGGTGTTTGCAATCAGGTGTGAGCAATCACTTTGCAGTTTACTGAAGGGGAAACTGTGCTTCAGGTTACGAAGTGTAGAAGGCTCTCTGTGCCACTAGGCGTGGGTTGTTACCAACTTTTATCTCAACATGTACCAGCACTTTTAACATTTTGCCCAAAAAGTGCCTTGGTCCTTTCTTCTTTTTTGAGCTTTTTGTCATGGCCCTCACTCTCCTGGGTTCCTGATTACATTCATTCAGCTCACCTGCTCCCCGCTGCTCACCTGAGAACCATCCAGTAATCAGCCCTGCAGTATAAAACACCGACTCTCCTCTCCAGTCCTCACCAGAATGTTGAGTATACCACTGTGGCACAGTCAAGCTTCAAGCCACTGTTGAATTGTGAATTCAGTTTAGACTTTCACTTACCTGCCTGCCTGTTTGTCCTTCTGACACGGTCCCAGCCAGCCAAACCTCTCCAACCTTGTTTTGCTTCCCTGTCATCAGCCCACTTCCTTCAGCCTCCATTCTCTGGATTTTCCTCTACGACCACATTCATAATCCTGGGAAGAAAACCCATTTTTTTTACCACTCTCTTTATGAGTCT